GGCCCAGGCCGCAGACAGGCCCAGGACATAGCAGAGCAGGCGAACATCATGGTGGCGTTGACCGTTCGGCCCCACCACGCCACGCTACTGCAGATTCAGTCGGCCCACATTTCAGGCCTGGCCTTTCCGCGATACAGGCGCTGTGCTGGAAGCGGACCGACCTCTTTACTTCTGGCAAGTCGCGCATGGTGGACACACGAATCCATTCGGTGAAGCACACTTTCCAGGCTTCTCTCTGATCGCCCCCTGGTTGGTCGGTTTATAAACCAACGTGTCGACACAGCTAGATAGTGCCGCCGTGACAGGTTTGAGTCGATCGTGCTCTCTCTCTCTCTGTCCGTCTCTCTTCTAGCAGCTCCGGCGAGGAAAAGCTACAAATTTTTATTCTAGTGTTGTTGCGCGAGTGAGCGAACGATCACCAGCAAAATGGCCACCGGATTCAATGAGACCCTACAGTGGACAATGGGCCTGATCAACGCGTCAGGCAAGTATCTGACGGCCGAAACGTTCGGCTTCAAGATCACCGCCAACGGCGCTAACATGAAGGTGAAGCAGATCTGGACGCTGGAGACGAAATCCGGCGACGACCAGTTCGTGTACCTGCGCAGCCCGCACAAGCGATACCTGTCCGCCAACGAGAAGGGCGAGGTGTCCGCCTCGTCGGAGGAGATGAACGAGAACGAGCGCTTCATCTTCCTGCCCCAGGCGGACGGTCGGTGCGCCCTGAAGAGCCCCCATGGCTACTATTTCGGCGGTTCCGGCGACCAGCTGTCCTGCTTCACGAAGACGATCAGCGAGACGGAACTGTGGACCGTGCACTTGTCGATGCACCCGCAGATCAACCTCCGCAACGTGCAGCGCAAGTGCTACGCGCACTTGGTCGGCGACGAGCTGCACGTGGACGAGGAGGTGCCGTGGGGCGCCGACGCCATGTTGACGCTGGAGTTCGTGCGCGACTCAGGCCGTTATCGCCTGCTGGCCAGCAACAACAAGTACCTGACCTGTGGTGGGCAGCTGACTGAGGATGCTAGCAAGCCTGAGACCTGCTTCCAGCTGGAGTTCCATGGCAGCACGATTGCATTCAAGGACTGCAACGGCAAGTACCTGGCTGGCGTGGGCAGCAAGGGAACGCTGCAGTCGCGTCGCGACGTCGTCGACAAGGACGAGCGCTTTGTGCTGGAGGACAGCCACCCGCAGGCCACCATCATCGCCGCGAACGGCCGGGCGGCGTCCATTACGCGCGGCACGGAGGTGGCGGCGTCGATGAGTGAGGACGAAGTCGGCGACAAGGAGACGTTCCAGTTCGAGATCAACAAGGAGACGAACAAGTGGTCGGTGCGCGCCAGCTCCAAGAACTACTGGACGGCGGCCGGCGCCACCATCCAGGCCACGGCGGCACAGCGCGACGACGCCTGCTGGTATGACGTCAAGTGGGACGGCCAGTACATCATGCTCCAGACGTGCAGCGGCAAGTTCGTCACCATGAAGCCGAACGGCACGCTGGCCACGAACGGCGAGGACGGCGACGACCCCAAGTGCCGCTTCATCTTCACGCTCATCAACCGGCCCATCCTGGTCCTGCGCGGCGAGTACGGCTTCATCCAGCCAAAGTCGGGCAAGTCGGGCAGGTACGACTGCAACCGCTCCGGCTACGAGGTGCTGAAGATGTCGGCGACGCGCGGCGTGTACACGCTGGTCGGTGCCAACGGCAAGCCGTGGGGCATGGACGAGGCGACAAAGTCCTTCAGTGCCGACGGTGACGCCGACTTCAACGTGAGCCTGGAGCTGGTGAGGCACACGCGCATGCTCATCAAGTGCCCCAACGGCAGCTACCTCCGCGGCGAGAGCAACGGCCTGCTCGGCGCCACTGGCGCGGGGCTCGACAAGGAGACCCTCTGGGAGTACTAAGCCGTGGCACAACTGGCAGTGGCTGCGTCTGCACGACACGATCCACGGTCACAATGCAGCAACTACAACAACCACAACAACAACAACAACACCTCGCCCCATTGGCATTGGCACGCTGTCCCACCGTGCTCTGGCTGCCTGGCTGGCTGGCAGCGCTGTGTGAACATGACAATTCGTTCCGACTAGAGGTACCCCGCGCTGCGCTGTGCCCCCTGTTCGTAGCTTCTAGGCACCATCTTCTGCGGTCTAGCAGGCGTGCTTGTGCATACTATTCTGTTTTTTTCTTTTCTGCGGGTAGCTTGTAGTTCGAGCTCTGCCTCTGTCTTCGTAGTGGTGTGCCTTTACTTCATACCAATCGCAGCTAGAACTCGTTAGGTCTCCGGTTTTCTCTTCGCTATATCCCTCTATTTAGCGCCTTTCCACAGGCCCACAATGACCTAAAAAATTCCGCTAGGATTAAACTTCGCAATTTAAATCTATTTGGTGTGGCCGCTTCCTGGTTGTTTCGTCCTATTGATGTTTTCTTTTTGAAAATGATCCACTGAGGAAACTCACTATTATTATACTAAGCAGTTTTCGAAGCTACTGGAATGTTGTGCTGTGACCAATGAGCACCCTGCTTGGGTTGAGCACCAAGGCTCTGGTGTCTGTGTGTGGGTGGGTGCGTGTGTGTAATGGCTAGACGGAGTGATCCATGCCACGTTCTGGTTACTGGCGTGATTGGTACCACAGGCTTTCCTTCTAGTGCTCTGCTGCTTCCGTATTCGCCGCAGGAATGGGAATTGTTGGCTGTGGGTGACGATGTCTTTGATTGGCAGATTGAGTTGTGATTTTTTCACATACTGTATAAGCCCTTGTATAGCAGAGAGGGCATCATTACCTCTCCCTGTAAGCCTTTTCCGTCACGTGATAGACTTCAAGTACATGTACTAGTACTAAGTAGTAGGTCCACAAAGTCTGGGCATAGTATCCTGGGAGATATTGTATTGAGAACGTTTACATCGTGTATAAACAGTGTCAACGCCATGTACTGACAGTGGACAATTGCCAGCCTGGACTATCACAGTGTGCCTTCCTAGCTTTTGATTGCAGTCTGTATTGTTGTAGCGGTTCAAAGGCTACAATAGGTGTAAAGACGTGTAAGTGAGAGTTCAGATTGTATTCTTTTCGAGTCACGGTGCCAAGTGTGTACAACACCGTCAACAAGTGCACCCCATCCCATGGCCCAGTTGTTTTTCTTGAATTCATGTCACCCTGTACTGGAGGAGATGAAACGGAACTGCACACTTCTTCAAGTAAGTTCTTGTGAGGAGTCAGTAAAAGTGGTGTATCTTCCACTCACGGTTACTGGCCGATGGTAAGTGAGTACTACATGTTGCAGACGCACGTTCACTTCCATGAACACTGATATCAATGCATTCATTGGTTTGAGCGAAAGATGCAAATGGGAAAAGTCTGATGAAAGAAAGTGACTGCTATCACCAGGACTCGAACCAGGGACATTCGCTTGAGAGTTGAGGCCAGCGATGCTCTACTGCCTCTAGGTCTAACCACTGAGCTATGCCTATGGTGTAGCTGTCATCCCATGGACTTGTCATGTCCATGAATGCACTAATGGCCCAGCAGAGACCGTTCATCAATGTCAACTATCAATGTATTAATTAAAAAAGAGATGGCCTCCCTGCATCATGCATCAATGCCACATTGTTGATGTGGGAGGAGTCTTGCGGCACAATAACTTGGCGGTTACACAGCTGAGGGTTTGCTGCAGTGTGTTTTGAAATGGCAATAACCCGCGTGGGATCACCTTCATTGTCGGTCCAGGAGACGCCTATTATAATCTGCACCATTTTGTGATCATTATCAGCGACTGCAGTTCCAGCAGATACACGTATGATTGTACCCCCAGTGGGGCCCATGAATGATGCTATTCGTGTGTCTATAGAAAAGCACCCGCCACGAAGACAGACTAGACTGCATCAATGAGCTGCTAGTACATGGACATGTGTATACCGTTGCATCAGTGCAACAACATATCTCACAGCAATCACAAGCCCCCCAGCGACCTGCACTATTTCTGGCCCAGTCTATTATAATAATTATTATCTTCAGCCTGAGGTCTTCACTTGGTGTGGTGATTTTGTGGCTGGGTCAGTAAAGTGGAACAGTCTGAAGTACTGCGGTGCTGGCTCCTGTCACTATATGTAGCTGGCCATCGACTCCATGCTAAGAATTGAAATCAAGGAAACAAACCAAAGAGATACAAGTACGGATGCAGAATAGGAGGGTGCGGTAGAAGTAGGGGGGGGGGGGGTATGTACTCTTGCTGTTACCCACAGCGGTGAATGATATACCAGTGTTTTAGTTTTACCACTGAATGGCTGTGAACTCTGCAGCAGTCATCGCGTAGGTGCGATGCTCGCTACGTCCAGACAGCGCTACCGAATAAGGGCGTCCTGTAGTCCGCAAGTGAGGAATGTTGTTCCTGCTTTCGGTGTTTTTGTGATGTGATACAAACCACCACCCGATCAAGAGTTCGTATTTGCACCAGTTACCGCTCGGTGGCAACAGCAGATATACACGTACAAGTCATGTACATGTGCTGGCCTGGGTCATTGCTGCTTCATTATGTAACCTAGCGACATCAGCACTCACAGTTTGGTGCAAGCCCCTCCTCACATGTCTAAACATGCGGTCACAGTGTGTCGCCATTGTGATTGACATGGAGAGCTAGGGAGACACCCTGGTGAGTTTAGGCCGACCACTGACACTGACACTGTACTGGCACTACAAGTAGTACATGTAGTAGTACAGCTGGTATCACTACTATCAGTACCAATGCACATAACAGGTGACTGGTGAGGCTGGGCGCCCAAGTGGGCAGACACTGACACAGTATCTAGCTCCAAAACTACAGTCATTGTTGTGAGATTATCAGAATCAGCTGCCGGAGTTGAAAAGGCACGACAGCAGGAAAGTGACATGTGTTCATGCACTTGTACTTATACTTGGCCTTCGCCAAAGTCCAAGGGCAGTTTGTGGCACGACACCAGTGTGATTGTTGAAGTTTTTTGGCTGATTTGCTTGCCATACGAACAAACAACGAGATTGAAATATTCTGACACCTTCCGATCGTACTTCCACCTGCACCGCATTCAGATATCCTCACACAGCCACAGGTTGCATTTCAGCTCGCGAGCCAGTCCCGGTGGTGCTACATGTAACTGTCCGTCACTAGTTGAACACTCCATTTGAAGTCCCGTTCAGGCGACAAGAATTCTCCAGGTACATGTAGTTCAGGGTATAACGTTAGCCCGTTTGTGCTGGCCACCTGCTTCCAGGTGTTGATTTGCTCCGTTTCAGGCTAGGCTTTGTTCCATCGTTCTTCTTGGGGGTTAGGCATGGGGAAGTAGCCATGTTACTGTAGGGGCTTGAGCTCGCCTTTCGGCACCGTCTCTAGTGGTGGTACCATCCATCCATACAATCATGTACATGACGTAGATGGCCAAATCGCAGTGAAGATCCCTCTGTTTGGCTCCGTGTACACCGGAAAGAGGTGCAGACATAGCGGTCGCAAAGCACAATAGGGTTTCAGTAGCCTGTAGTAGTGTAGAAGATAGAAACTGAGCCACAGCCACAACATTTTTAAATAGTGGAGCGGCTTCACTTCAGAAGTTCAGCGACGCACAGTGTAAACAGTGACAGTGGAACACCATCTCGAGAACGAACACACATGCTTTGGCGGCAACTCTACAACATGTAAAGCCCTTGGCGGGTACTGCTGGGCAGAACTTGGTAACACGTAGTAGCTGCCAGAACATCAGCGAACGTGGTACTTTCCTGGTATAATTCAGGCATGTGTACTGACTGGCGTGGAAGAGGATGAGTTGGGAACTGTCCCACATGGCGCATGTACATGTAGATTGTAGTACTTTCTGGTGTTATAACTTTTCAGGACCATCCGCCAGGGGATAAAGAGTCTGAGTCTGAGATTGGCGAGACTTTTATGATTTTATCCTAGTCATCATATACATGTACATGTACATGCATCAGCCACTGTTCTGCGATCGTTTGTAGTTGTACTTGACCAGTGCCAGTGGGAATCAAGAGACATTTTAGGGAAGGACCAGCTAAGCATTCAACAACCTCACTAGAATGCATGCCGCGCATCAAAACTGTGTCCCCGACCGACACATGTTTGTTGTTTTCGCCTCCCCCCCCCCCCCCCCCCTGCAGCTCAGCAGCACTGTCCCGCCACAAAATAACACAACGTGCTATGCATGCTGTCGAAGGGAAAGTGTCGACCATGCGGCATTGCGTAATTGGGTATGAATTGCATCGCTCCTGCAGTCCTGGGGTGACGCGCACAAAGATTGGTACAGTCAAATCTGCCGTTAGCGACCTCTGCTGTAGGCGACCATCTACCGTTAGCGACCGATTTTCCGTGCACCGACGGTTTCACATACAAACTGATCTGTCCAGAGCGACCATCTGCTGTGCGCGACCAGCGACCGCGATTTCATGCACGGTGGCTGCATTCAAATCTGCTGTAAGCGACCGCGACCCAGGTTCAGTAAGGTGCGAAAATGTACTTACCAGTGCGCTGTCAACTGCAAAGTGTGAAAATGCGCTGTCTTGCAAGTGCGATCACTGGCGCCTGGCCTGTACTCAGGCTGTGCTGTAGCTCTCAAGTCCAGGCAGTGTCGTGACCGTCACTGTCGATCTACTAGTACTGCCGTGTCGCATCCGCGTACTATACGGGTATGGTCGTCGTTGAATATCCAATAAAATGATATTAAAAATCACATTATTCTCGTCGATTTGAGTACATGGAAGCATATACCTGGTATGCCGGATTTACCATACATCTGTCGTAAGAGACCATCTGCCGTAAGCGTCGCTTTTTCTTGCACCAAGGGGCGGTCGCTTACGACAGATTTGACTGTAGCTGCAGTTTAAAAGTTTAAGTGTGGCTGGCTCGGTCGAGTTTAGGAATGATCCCTCCCGTCCTCCGATCGAAGAGGTCCGTCCGTGGCCGCGTTTGGCGATCAAGTCTTCTTCATACAAGTAGGCACACACGATAAAGTGCAACACTCCGTGCACTGTACTGTTGCCGTGCACATAGACCAAAAGTAAAACAACCGCAATGATTATACTGGAGTGGAGACTATCACCAAATAATTTCAGTCAGTGTCACTTGAGAAAAGAAAGGCTGGCTTGGACGAGTACAGCCATCGCTGAGGACTGAGACACCGTTAACCACTGCCGTCAACTAACGAGATGTACTGATTGCGCATCTCCTAGACATCGAGTCTGACCTCTTTCTTTTATGAGATCCACCAGGCACCCTGAGCTGCACCAATGAGTGAAAGAATCGAAAAACATTCTGGACTTGAAGGTCCAAACAGCTAGTATTAGTGAGGTTTTGCATTCCGAAATTCGGCAAAAAGATTCGGCACGCGGGAGCGAGGTCGAAAATGTACACGAAGATTCGGCATGTTTGTGCGAAAATTCGACATTTTGATGTTCGACACATGACCGAAGAACGCCGAACCGAAATTCGGAATGCAAAACCTCACTATTAAAGTACCTGTCCGGAGATTCAGATTGCTCGGAGTAGAGTTGGTGACGTGGCTGTATTATGTGCCGTCGAAGATACAAAAGTACCTCGTCTACTACAGTCTACAATGTAGTGCTGGCAACTGAAATCCGACCACCTGAGCGGTGCGCTCACATCGCAAAGACCGAACACGGGATGGTAAAACTACGAAACAGAGACCGCTGGAATGTGAACCCACCGCTCAGGGGGTCGGATTTCAGTTTCCAGCACTATAATTATGTCGTGGGCACATGGCTCATCATTAAAATTAAATTTTGCAAAAGTGCCAGGGTTCAAGAATCTCTACGGTCAAGCCCGATCATCACCGAAGCAAGCCACTTGATGTCTGTTCGTGGATTGTCCACTGGACAATCCACGAACAGATACATCGACGATTTTGCCCGCCAGTCGCCATTGCACCTCTTCGTGAATCGCCGCTGAGTGCTGTTTTGCGCAGCGTCGCCATCGAGCTGCAGCCGCCGGAGCCAATCATTGTCAAGCCAGCGCAGCAAGTCCTGTTGATGATTCGTATACACGGGCCATCAGTCTCTCCGCTTGAGCTTCAAGTGCCCAGTACATCTTTCGACACCCTCCGGCAGTCGTGTGTACAGCCGAACAATAGGAGATACTGAGAGAGACAGGGAACCTGCACTTACGCCAGCGTCCTAGGATACAAAGCCTAAGGGCCTAGGGAGTAGGGTTGAAGGTCCGGGACGTACATCTGCACCCAGTGACTCGCTGAGTAGCCGATGGTCCTTGGGTTGTGTGAATGGGAAAACGTGTTCTCAAGAGCAACCATCAAGTCACAAGTGCACCTACTAGGCCAGCATGCAGCGCAGTTGCAGGACTTTCATTCTTATCTGCAGTGGACCATGGTTGACTGCTCAGATCATGGAATACCTGTCAAAACTGGACGAAATGCACTCAAGTCTTCATCGTCACCCACCGACATGGCACCGGTGCATCCTGTTCCACACAGCCATGGACACATAAGGTACGGGTTTCCCCGGCCCAAAACTAGACTAGAGAGAGAGCGATCGAGAGGAGAGGAACAACACTCCTTGACCTCCATACTCCCTGTCACAAAAACTGCGACTTGAGCTCGTACATGTGCAGGCGTCGACGGATCGAGATGTCACCTATCGTCGATCCGGCCAGATGCAGTCAACCGACCGTGGTCAACACCATGCCATCGAGTACACAATGATTGTAGTACCGGCACTACACCCTGCTCAACACAATCAACCAAACCTCTCGCAGCAGCGGTGGCGGGGACAATCCGCACGACCCCAGACAAGCGATGCCCAGCTGTACTGTAGGCTTCGACAGCCTGTGTGTGCGTGTGACCGCAGATGATCCTCCCCCTCACACTACTAGTACTAGTCACAGACTCCCACCGACACTGGCGACAGCCTCATTATTCGCCTGGCGTGTTCCCGAAACATGAACATCGGTTCGAAGTGAGGAGAAAACAGAACTTCAGAAGCCTACAACAATAACCCCAGTACAGCTAGTGTGTTATTTTTAGCTTTAGGACAATCGTCCCTGAACTACGACTGAGACTGTAAAAATCCTAATGATTGTAGAGAGTAGGAATAATAATGAGTGGGTGTTGTGCGGATAGGATCTCGAGAATAGATCACCGACCGTCCGTGCACTGAGTCTGTGTCATGATAGTTTTTTGATAGTCCACATCTATTGTGCATTCACAGCGACACAGTCATATTCATAGCTGTACTCTGTAGAGTGTAGTCTAGTGTAGATCTACTGACACAGTCCCAGGTTTTCTTATTTTTCTGACACCTGGGAACCGATCCTAGCCCTAGCCTCCGGATCCTAGGCCCTGGCCAGGGAGTCGTAAAAGCCCGGGAGAGGACACGGGATGCGCGCACGCGGACGATGTTTGCCTCGGCCAGAAAGTGAAGCACGCTAGGCCGGCGCGGCCGGATCTGCTCGATCCACGGCGCTGTGCTTGTCTTCAGGGCAGGGAGTCCTAAAATACCAATATTTTACAACTCGTTGTTGACACCATTATCCGAAACTGGTGGCGAAGGAAGGATAAACATGATTGTATGTCTGTCAGACTCAGTACAGGGGTGGGGAGTTGAGTGTGTGTGTGTGTGTGTGTGTGGGGGGGGGGGGGGAGGCGTGTGTATGTGCACATGTGCTTGTACTTTTGTGTGTGTTTGTACAGTGTTTGTGTGTGTGCTTGTGTGTGTGCGCGCGAACGTGTGTGTGCATTTTTGTGCACAATTCCGTTATGAAGTACAAATGATAGGTTTACCTTTTGTACACTCGCCAAGACTTCCGTTTCCTAAACGGCTCAAGTCACCGCGTACTCAGTATACGAGTAGAAAAGTGTTGAAATTATCAAGATTTATAAATAACGACCTGCAACCATGTACAATATAGATAGATAGGGAACACACATTGATTGTTTTTAAAAGAATCCAGGCATTATCATGAATCATGGAACGAGTGCGTAATAATGCTCTATGTTGCGTTTTGACGATGCTGAAGGAAGGGAGCCGTCGCGATTTACTCACAACACACGCACAGAAGTCCACTCGACTGCAATTTCTGACACAAATTCATAAATCCACGAGTACGCCGAGGAAGCTCAGCGGATCTCCACAAGAACTTTCGCCCATCACCTGCAATGGAATATGGGCTGTATGATACGACCAGTGGTTAACACGGGAAGTGGCGTCATTTTCCACAAATCTCGTTTCATTCACAGCCATTTGACTGCAATTCAGTGCAATTTCTGCCGCAAATTCAACTCCACGAGTACGAGGAAGCTCAGCGGATCTCAACACGAACGTTCGCCCATCACCTGCAATGGAATATGGGCTGTATGCTACGACCAGCGGCTAACACGGGAAGTGGCGTCATTTTCCACAAATCTCGTTTCATTCACAACCATTTGACTGCAATTCAGTGCAATTTCTGCCACAAATTCAACTCCACGAGTACGAGGAAACTCAGCGGATCTCAACACGAACGTTGGCCCATCACCTGCAATGGAATATGGGCTGTATGCTACGACCAGCGGCTAACACGGGAAGTGGCGTCATTTTCCACAAATCTCGTTTCATTCACAACCATTTGACTGCAATTCAGTGCAATTTCTGCCACAAATTCAACTCCACGAGTACGAGGAAACTCAGCGGATCTCAACACGAACGTTGGCCCATCACCTGCAATGGAATATGGGCTGTATGCTACGACCAGCGGCTAACACGGGAAGTGGCGTCATTTTCCACAAATCTCGTTTCATTCACAACCATTTGACTGCAATTCAGTGCAATTTCTGCCACAAATTCAACTCCACGAGTACGAGGAAACTCAGCGGATCTCAACACGAACGTTGGCCCATCACCTGCAATGGAATATGGGCTGTATGATACGACCAGCGGCTAACACGGGAAGTGGCGTCATTTTCCACAAATCTCATTTCGTTCACCCCAACTCAAATAAAAGTGAAGTACAATTAGGGATTTGTCTTGCATTTCCATCGCCTCAGAATAAATTAACTTCGATAAACTGAGAGAGAATGAGTGAGGCAGCTGGAAGATGAGGATGAAAATAGAGATCAGAAGACTCGACGGAGCAATCGTCTCCGTGCTCTAAGAGAAATCGGAGAATGTCCCAATTAGTATTTCAAGAAGACATCACAATTTTCGAAAATAATAATTTCCTTGCCTCGCAACACCGTTCCCTGGCAGCGTTCCCCGGCAGCGCGAGGCAAAGATGTTTTCTGGGAATGTGTGCCGTGTCCTCTCCCGGGCTTTTACGACTCCCTGGCCCTGGCCATACAAAGTCAGTACAGCGTTGGTACCTCTCCACCGAGGCTGAGCCCAGGCACACTGGAATACAGTCATGTACGTGTTGCGTGCAGACGGTGATGGACTTGTACTGTCTACACTGTCTGTACTCTCTACTGTAGACTGTGTATGCAGCTTGCTAGCGTGATCCGTGCACGATATCTGTGCGAGTCTGTGCGTGCGAGTGTGACTGTGAGAGGCACGGTAACGACGCGCAACAAACGCCAGCACTTCTTTTTGAGCCTCCCTCACTGTGACAGCCAGCTGTGGGAGATTGAAGAATCGTCGTGACCTTGCGGTACCTTTCGAAACTGTTACTTACAACCTCCGCAAGTGGAATACTAACTAGTAATCGCGTTGACCCAGTCTTTGGCGCTACTCCGATTACCTGAAACGACCAAGAAAACGGTAAGTTCCTAGCAATACCGTAATTGTCTCTTTGCATTTTCTATTGGATCCACTTGGCGATGACGATGTTGGTGTTGTCGTTACGATTGCGACATGCAACGTCCCGATCGTAGAACTAGCTGCATGTCAGTGTCCTTTTCAGTGGTTGTGCGTGTGCTCGTGTGCGTGTGTACGCGCACGCGTCTATCGTTGAATGTGTTACTGGTTATCGCCTCGATTACGATGTGAGACACCCTCACCTCTAGACGCCGGGGCAAACGCGAAACTCGAGAGCTCTTCAGTTCAGAAAATAATTAGGCTAGCACTAGTAGCACTAGCAGCAGGTAGCTGGTCATGTTTTGTCGATAAACATTTTTGCAGATCCAGAATAGGGACTGTATGTATATGTACCGTTGTACGATCGGCGGAGGAGGAAGGTTTCGTAGGAACGACAGTTACATGCACCTCTGGCGTCCGCGAGTGGTGGCGTTCTGCCACTGGAGATCGTTGCCACGTTGGTGAACGTTGGCCAGCGGCACGGATGTGCGGCTTTGCGAAGTGAATAATAATATTATAATGTTGTGCTAAAGCTGGTATTCTTGAAGCGCTGCGCGAGCACGATGGATTAGACGATGTCAAGGCTCAAAATGCGACTGACCATGGACGGGAGGGCTCGCTAAGATTTGATTTCTTTTGAGATCATAGCAGGATCCTATTATTTGCCTGGCCTGACAGAAGGTCGATGGGCTGGTCGTTGAAACGTGGTCAGTGCGCTGCTGCTCAGTGCTCCTTGCATGCCATCAGATCCTTCCGAAGTACCATTCCAGATACAGTGTATCTAGTAATATCCAGCAGAAGTGAGCGAAAAAGAAGGCCAGCGCTCCGGGTCAGAAAGAATACACACACACGTATTCACCGGTAGTGTGAATGGAAACGCCGCTAGAAAACTAGACACGATAAAACAGTCGCACACGGTTTGCGTGTGTCCTACATTGACGAGCAGCGGAACAGCTGGTGACCGCGTCCTTCACATGACAGTGCAGTGGAGGCTTCCTTCCGCTCCGTGAGTTCCTGAATGCATGCATGCACTCGACTTAAAAACTCGACTTGAGCTTGATAAACACCACGACATGGCTGAACTATGCCATGGATAGTTCAAGCTTGAGTCAAACTCAAAGTAACGTTAGACGATGACATAGAGACTTCGACTTAGTCTCAGGTGCTGATTTGTTGTGATATCATGCACAGAGCTGGCAACCAACTGGGTCTGTTTTGGGTACTGCGATTTATGATTTTCCGTATTTTGCAGCTATTTTTGCATATTGCCAATGTACTGCAGTGTGCATTGCTTGCGCTGTTCGTCATTTTGTGAGAGCTTGGACAATCCACTTGTCCAGGCAAGAAGGCAGCAATGCCTGTTCCATTCTGGCGAAGTAAAATAAAATATACCAACCAACCAACCATTGTCACGGTTTTTCGCATTCGCAGGCATGTTGGTGGTTTGTTTTACTGGTGCAAAACATGTGTGACTTGTACGGCAGAACGTGATTTTTGTGCTTGCATGTAGTCGAAGCATAGCATGCACTCGCTTTGGCACGGGGATATTTTATCGCCGCAGCTTTAGCTTGCCATATTTCTACATAGCTGATCGATCCTCTTCGAATTTCCCTACCATTTTTGCTCCAATTCTGTAGTGCGGACGAAGGAGTGATTTTCTGTACACATACGCCAAAACCTGAAGGTTTGCAACACTGTATGCATGCAGAAACGCATGCTGTAACACTGCAAGAGCGCAGCATGCACCGCAACCCCCCCCCCCCCGTCTCGCGAGAGCGCCCCCACCTTGAATTTACAGCCAGGGAAAGGAGAAACGTACGGCAGAGTGCAACAAAGTTTGTACGGTGTGAGAAACTAAGTATACTAAGGTCACACTTAGCAGGTTTTTGTGTGGAGCTTGGGTCCGCTTGTATTGATGGTAAATCGAGTAGAGATGGACTAGACTGCACAACGTAAAATGGTTCTATAAGGTTCAAGTCGTATGACCTACAGACAGGACACCACCTCCACAATGCGACCACGAAAGAACGAGATGGTGGGGCGCTCTCGCCGTACTTCACGTACATGTTACTTGGCTGTTGCCAACTTGCCATGATGCTTTAGATACGGTCACATTACAATCACATCATTCTGTACGTTCCTGGACGCAAGTTAGTTCTTTGGGCACCCCTGCCCGATTGGGGCCTGGTCCTTCTTAGGCGGACATATTCCCGTAAGCAGATCTAATCAGCCTGTACACAAGTCAGGTCAACCTGCATGCCGCGTTGCAAGTCAGGAGATACCTAGGATATACCGGTACTCTAATTTCAGAAATTTTAGGTGCTCATTATTTTCGGTATGAGGGCAAAAGGCAGCCTTTAGGGTTAGGTGAACAGAAATTTTAGGTACAGAGAAGCAGTTCACTATTGGATTATGTGTGTTAGTGTTTGTTCGGTGTATTGAAATTTTAGGTATGAAACAGACGCACCGAAAGTACCAAAAATTTGTGAAATTACAGTACCCTGCTACTGGTATTCTTCAATATCAGGTAGCCAGCGTTTCAAAAGCTTGGTCAAAGCCAGGGGAGCAGAGTCATGCCGATAACCCGGACTTACTACGACTATCTGCTCATGCAGGATTAGTCACGGGGGGTGAGGTAACGTTCTTATAACTCATTCGCAACCACTACTTCATTTGAACTCGCTCTGGTTTACCACACACATGTGCATGTACATGATTTGGGGTTTCTAATACAGTTGAACATCGATTATCCGACCACCTCTGGGCAGACAACTGTCAGGCGGTGTTCAGATAAGGCAAATGTTCTGGATAAGAAAAAACTGTCACTCACACACTTTCAGTGGTTATTACTAGCCGCACGACCATTTTACTTTTTACTTTTCAAAATTTTCGTATTTTTTGAATGGCTCACTACATGCACAGTGCGTACTCTACGGCACATGCGCCCAAAAAAAACTGTTACGGATAATCGAATGGTCGGATAGTCGATGTGCGGATAATCGATGTTCAACTGTACATGCAATGCCATACTAACCGACTGGGTGCTGAAAGGCAATGGTGGAATGCATACTTGATGGGAGAGAAAGCTGAACTCCACCATCCCCCCCCCCCCCCCCCCCCCCGGTACAGTTTGTGCAGCTGAGGGGATGTACACACGAATCTATCCACGAGCATAATGTGCGAGTTCAATGATCACGCCATGGCCAAATCTCTCCCTATCCGTAATGATTGTGAAAAGAACATTTGAGTGGTGGTATAGACTGTTGGCTGTTCACAATAAGGTGCAGCCTGCCAGGCACTTGTGCTACTCCGCTGTGGAGATATCTTAGCTGGAATCATGCCTGCTTGTGTTACTCTTGTGTATCCAGCACTGCTCGATGAAATCCAGTCGCGTCACTCGAGTACGCGTCGGGCATTGCGCAGCCCGCAGACCTGCGAACACTGCCGGGGCTGCGAAACGGTGCAAGCCACAAACTTGAGTGACACGGCTGGATTTCATTGAGCAGGACTGTACATGTAGGCCGGCACTCTTCTACAGCAGGTCTCATGGTGTGTTCATGTACACGACACATGCTGCATGAACTTGCAACTTTCTCAAATGTTCCAACTGTACAAGAACTCCCAATACTCCTTACCACACAACATCGAGACTCCGGAAATCATGTGCAGTCGATTGCAAAAATGTAGCCCCGACAGGGATGTCGGACCGGGCCCCGGTGCGGCAGGTGCAATATAGGCTATTTTGGCCAAATTTAGTTACCAGACCTTCTGTCCAGGGGGGGGGGGGGGGGCTTTTCATGGGCCTTTTCATAGCTGCACCAATATAGAATACCTTCCGACGCCTCTGCCCAATTATCAGCTAATGCCAACCTGCCATACATCTGCCAAAGCCTGAGTGCATGATGCCATCATGTTGTCCCTGCTGTGTTTCTGGTTGCTCACTAGTCTGACATCTTGCTCTGAAAATGACCGAGGCAACAACCATGACTGCCGGGCGTTGACCTGGCAGCAGCGTTGCCCTGGCAACAGTGTTGACCTGGCAGCAGTGTTGCCCTGGCAGCAGTGTTGCCCACACTGCATGCTCCACTGTATTTACGGTGGAGTCGCTCGCCCAATAACGTTGTTTCCAAGGGGTTAGCCTGGGACGTTCTTATTTTCGGCATTCTGTGTTGTTATAGCACGTTCTTAGAAAAAATCCGTAATGGATGACATGAATGTAACCCGAAAGCATCCAGAAAAGTGAGAAAACCAACACCGCCGTTCTTCATATTCATGCACATGCACAGTGCAGTGTCCTGTCGCTATTTTGTTGCATTCAAAGTCGAGGGAGTTTTCTTCGTTACTGTATTGAGCCTATCGTGTGTTTTCGACCACTAAATTTTTTATTGATACTTGTACATAGCATGGTGTTATAGTATATAGCCATGTCTTTTCACCGGTGCAGCGCCGCAGAAATACCGCAGTATTGCCGCAGAATTCACGCTATCCGCCGCATAATGTAGCGATTTGTGCCGCAGAATTCTGCGCAGAATTTCAACTTTCTGTCCGCGGATTCCTGGAGGGACAGCCCTTTGTTTAGGACTCCTTGGAGTGGTGGTTACATTTGTGTGTGGAACTTAATCAAAATCAAGAATGTCCAGCCTGAAACGCGAAGAACGCCATGGCCTAAACGGTTGAGAACGGCGGTGTTGGTTTTCTGGCAGCTTTTGGTGTACATAATTATGATCCAGTACGAATTGTTTCTAAGAACGTGCTAGAAGAATGCAGCCAGATTGCTGAAAAATAAGAACACCCTAGGCTAACCCCTTGGAAGCAACGTTCTTGGACGCGCGACTCTCCTGTATTTCAAAGGTTGAGACCGAGAATGTAGGGCAAAAAGACCTATGATAAGACGTCGGCTTGGCTCAGTTTCTGTTCAGGTCTCCATCCTAACAGCCATCAATCCGTAATCGGTCGCAACCTTGATGATACAGTACATAGTCTGTACTGTTTGTTTGCACTGGATTACGTGTCACGTTTGCTTCTTGGTGTGTCTGCAACTGCACTACATTGTATTCCGGACTGGATAGTGCGACTGTGTGCCACAGTGCATGTATCACTATGCATTATTCTAGGCTGGATAATGCCTTTGAAATGGACTGGGTGCCACAGTACAGTCATGTATCCCTATCAGGGAGCCTCGGTCCAGGTTTGGATAGGACTCCCTGCACAGTACAGTCAGTGTGATGCATGCAACCAGGGAGTAGTACAATACATGTACCGGTATTGTACTACTCCCTGCATGCAACCAGGGAGTAGTACAATACCGGTATTATACTACTCCCTGGTTGCATGCAACTAGGAGAACAGTCATGCTAGTCATGGTTTCATGCAGGGAGCAGAAGATCCACTACCCCCTGGTTTCATGTACTCTTGATGCAACAGATCTTCAGCTGAGGCTGCGTTTACACGACAACGCACGGCCAGTTTTCCGTTTTCAGTCCCGCATTTCTTTTTTCGTTTTCGTACGTTTACACGATCAAAGCCGATCCGAGGTGGTCTCCGTTTGTATCGTTTTCAAGCGTCTACACGAGAGCAAAGAATGCGCCAAAGTTTGTCATGTGCCAAGTGTTGCCGTGGAAGCACCAATCACACTCAAGTAATGTTTGAAAACAGGCACACGACAACACACGTCACATGACGAAAATTGTAAAAACATTTTTTTGGATTGTCGGATCCGTGTAAACGGCCGAAAACAAAACAAACGTGACGGAAAACGAGGCCAGCACACCGTTTCGACTGTTTACACACCCAAATTTATCCGGCAGAACATTTCCGTTTTCAAATTCTTCCACCTTGGCCAGCGTTTTGGTGTACAACTTTCACGTTTTGCTCCGCGTACCGTGTAAATGAACCATGGATCCGAAAGGATTTCGTTGCGTTTTCGCCCCCAGCGTTGTCGTGTAAACGCAGCCTGAGTCAGAGAGCTAGCAGGGAGTAGTACAATAGGGAGGTTTAGTCCCACGTAATCCGTGGGTACTTTACGTGTGTGTACCACGTGATACTCAGTGACCCACGTACAGACGTTTTCTGGTTCACGACATACCGTGTATGGAGGCTCACCCACGTTCCGCCAGAACGTGGGTGAAAATCAGAATGGAGTGCATTGTGCAAGCTGTGAGGGTGCTCAGCTGAAGAAGTTTCCGAAGCACGAAATCAAAATATTGGATGCGCTTCTTAGGCCCGGGTAGCTTCGTCTTTGACCAGGTTTGGGCCTTTCGCTTCATGCTTTTGTTTGTTCCGTGTGACTAAACACAACATTGCAACGTGGGTGCCCTTCATCCACTTTACGTGGATCACCCACGTAGATCTACGCGTTTCCGTTCCGTGGGAACTAAACCTCCCTAATACTATATATTGTACTACTCCCTGGCAGCTGGCCAGAGGCGACGAAAGTAGCCCTGTCCTGGTCCCATGCGATGTCTGCATGCACTGGTTCACACGTCTGCGGTTTCCACGGCAGACAGCAACGACAGGCAGCAGCAGCTCACTGTTTCGCCCATGTCTCACATTATCACGGGCGTGTTATTGTAGATAGACACTGGCACATCCCTCGGCTAGCAGAGTGGCAAATGCACTGCAAATACTCTCCCTACAATGTCATGCAGACTCACACTCATTGTCAGTGATGCCTCTTGAGTCTTGAGTTGTGCTAGACTTTGAAGTTTGGTAGACTATTCAGCTAGCCCTGGCACAAACTTTGACGAAGGAAAGGGACGCGCCAACTCCGGAACCACACTCCATGATCGGTGCCAACTCGCGATACACGAGAAACTCACACCGACTGGTACAGCACAAGGCCAAGGGTCGTGAGATGGGGTTGTAATACTCTTGGATACATGTACAGAGCTTGACAAAGTGGACACATAACACGTGTACCGTAGTTTCCTGCTGACAAGAAGGCAAGAAGGCAAGGTGATGCAAAAAGTGCCAAAAACCACCTCACAACCCGAACTTGAACAAAGCTGGTGAACAAAGCTGCAAAAAGGGGAGTGTTGCACGTGTTCCTTCCTGGCGCCACGCGCGCACAGGGATCCTAGGGAGGGGATTGTTCCAAATTTACACAAAAAGGTTTTAGCAAGGAGTACTACCGGTACAAGTTTTTAGAAGGATATGGCTTGTACTCGTACTCCCTGACTCATATGGGCAAGAGTACATATGAAAACCGTACTCTTGATATATGAGTCATAGCGCTTTGCGATTTGGACCGTCATGTGCATCCCGTACGCGCTCTCGTGAGGGTCTTCTGTCCCGGATTTGGCTTTTTGGCAGTGGAAATGTCACCTTGTTTGGGAGATTCGTGTACGGGATGTGTATCGACGCATAATACCGAAGCGCATGCGCTTTTTGGGATGAGGGTAACATCTCGGGAGTGTCCTGTGGAAGAGTGAAGTAGGGGACCCTTGATTGCTTGTTTGTCACTCAATCTCACACAGCTGTCTTGTCTCTTGGTTTCCCGTTTTTGTCCTCCTTCTTTTCGGCCCATCCAGCACTTGGATCATTTGATTTTCAGCAGTCATGGCAGCTCCAACCCAAACGTGCGGTCTGATCAACGCAGCCAACAACAAATATCTGACTGGCGAGAAATTTGGCTTCACTGTCAACGCCAACGGAGCAACGATCAAGTCCAAGCAAATTTGGCAGATCGTAAGCAAGGAGGGCAGTGAGCATGTCTTCCTGCGTAGCCCCCACAACCGGTACCTGGCGGCCACTGAGAAAGGTGTAGTCACTGCTGACTCCGAGGAGATGTCTGGCAATGCTGCTTTCTTCTTCGAGCCACAGAAGAGTGGTCGCGTTGCCTTCAAGAGCGTCCACAACTACTACTTTGGCGGCGAGGGTGACAAGTTGTCGTGCTTCTCCAAGACTGTTGGCGACCAGGAGTCCTGGATCATCCACCTTGCCAACCACCCACAGTTTGTTCTGCGCAATGTTCAGCGTAAGTGTTATGTGACCTGCGACGAGAAGGCCAATGAAATGCGCACTACCGAGGAGCACCCATGGGGCGCAGAGGCCGTCATCACCCTGGAGTTCGACCGCCCCAGTGGCAGCTACCTGCTCCGTGCCTCCAACAACATGGTCTTGTCGCAGTCCGGCAAGCTGATCAATGACGTCAACGAGGACTCTCGCTTCCAGGTGGAATTCCGCAGCGGATACGTGGCCTTCCGTGCCTCCAATGGAAAGTACCTGGCTGGTGTTGGCAGCACAGGCGCCTTGCAGGCACGTCGTGAGAAGGTTGACAAGGATGCGCTGTTTGCCCTGGAGGACTCTCTGCCCCAGATCCAGCTCATCTCCCACTCCGGCAAGTACGTGTCCATTGCCCGTGGCGTCGAGGTATCGGCCAGCCAGTCCGAGCCCACCACCAAGGAGATCTTCCAGCTTACCTGGGCCGATGGCAAGGTTGCTCTGCGCTCCGCCTCCGGAAAGTTCGTCTCGGCTTCCAGCTCATCCCTTCAGGACAATGGCGAGGAGGCCAGCGGTGACAACCTGTACGAGATTGCGTTCAACGGCGCCACCGTTACGTTTAAGGCCAACAGCGGACGCTACGTCATCACCAAGCCCAACGGCACGCTGAGCGCCACCGGCGACTCTGCCGAAGAGCCCAAGGCCGTCTTCACGCTCAACATCGTCAACCGCCCGCTGCTTGTGCTGCGCGGCGAGCACGGCTTCGTCTCCACCGTGCCCACGTCCAAGGACAAGCGCTACGAGGCCAACCGATCGATGTACGAGGTCCTGAGCGTCAACGTCGAGAGCGGCATCTACACGCTCAAGGGTGCCAACGGTCAGAACGTCAGCCAGATCGAGAACAAGACCTTCTCCGCCAACGGTGGCGAGCCAGCGCGCTTCCACTTTGAGATCCAGCCGAACAGCCGCATGGCACTTCGCCTCGTCGGCGGTGCCCTCCTCAAGGGTGTTTCCAACGGCGGCTTCAGCGAGAGTGGTGAAGAGATTGGTAAGGAGACCGTGTTTGAGTATTAGATATGAGACTTTGCAGAGGTAACTCTCTGCGAGCCAGAATCCCGTCTTTACTTCCTTAGTTTTATTTTGCCGTCTTTAGCATAACAAGTCATTAGTTTCAATTTTTTTAATTGCCTAAAATTCCCGGATGTGTTTGTCGCCGCCATCACTGCGTTGAGTATTGCCTGCTTCCCACATCCTGCACACTTTAGAGCTTGTGCTTCTCTGCAATTCGGCGGACTTTTTTTCGCCACAGCTGGTCCGCTTGTTTTTCTTCATTTTTATCTAGACTCGCTTCGCCGCCTTTTTTCTCCTACAGCTCGGCACAATATGCTCTTTGATATCACACGTTCTCCATGATCTAGCAATCTCCCCATCGATCGTCTCGCCATGCTTGATGGTGGCCCGTTTTACAACAAAAATTATTTAGTTCAGTTGTTTCATACCTCTGCGCTACCACAGGTATGCACACGAAATTTTCTTCTTTTTAAAACACGCTATGATCGCCTCGCTCTGGTTCATCATTTTGATTCTTGGACGAATCCTGTAAGCTTCCGTATTGTGTTTCTGTACAGTCATGTAGGTTGGAGTTTTAACCAGGGAGTAGTACAACACGTAAAACACCCTTCACAGCCAAATATGGAATGCATGAGTAATGCTTGTGAGTATGCATGCTTAGATCAGGATTCAGGAGTGCACTGTTCAAGTTCAACACCCCAGAAGATGACCCCCCTCAGGTGGCTGTGAAGGGTGTTTATGGTACAAATTACGTCATTGCGCAATGTGTCTATACCCATTGCACACGATGTACATTAACTGGATTCCAAGAGTCCTTATGTCAGTTATGAACCCTTGGTAAAATCAAGAGTATACTGTTCACAGAATTTCCAAGTGAACTATTTATATCAAAAGTGAAATCTCTTGCGATGCAAAAAAAACTACTAGCAGAAGTATGTTCGTTTTTGGGGGTAGGGAAGTACACTTTTGCGATGATCACTACATGTACTACCAAGAGTCCATAACCCCTGGACTCTTGCTAGCATGCTACAGCCTACTACCGGTATCAAGAGTTCATAACTCTATGAAATCTTGATACCGGTATCTATGCCAGTACGCCTCGTACAGTGATGAGACGCATGCTTCCGAATACACATGTACACACATTGTTCTTGACATTAATTACTCTTGAATCGTGTGCCTCGGATGCTGCAGTTGAGGTGTACATGTAGCTGTCATGAAGAGTATGATTGATACAATGTACTACTGTAAATATACAAAATTTCGGCACTTCACGATTTATTTTCGGCGTGGGGTAGAGGGCATGGTATTGCGACAGATGCTGTGAAAAATTTCATCGGCGTTTTAATTTAGGCGTTTTGGGTCGGTGCCGAATATAGCCGAAATTAAATAGCTGCCGAAAATTTGAATATTTACAGTATTGTGGACATAGAAATCCGGTGGATAGACCGGGGCTGGCACCCTTACTTGCTTAGCAAGTGCACACACTGTTACACTGCAACAATGGACCAGCAGTGCTCATGGCTGCAAGGCCAGCACCCTGCGGCCCGCTTGATGTCTCAATGGATTTCAATGTCCACTACAGTAGGTGTGCATAGGACACAAACATGCATTGGTGGTGCCAGCTGCGGCATGCGGGCAGAACTACGGGTGAGATTACAGCAGTGTACGTTTTCTGAGAATGGACCATTGGAATTTTAGGGAAATCGGTCGTTTCCACTCCAATCTGCTGGACAAGCTGCTTTGGTCTGGGTTTGGATTTGTAAAACAAATTGATGTAGGCATGTACAGAAAAGTGAGACAGATTCAATGGCCAATACTTCCACACCCCAAAAAAATCTACAGGTCTGTCCCTAGGCCCTGCGGGAATTTGCGGAAAAAATCCTCGAAAACTTGCGCAAGAAATTGCCGCAGAAAACAACAAAAATTGCGGCGAAAAGTGCGGAACTTGCCAGGAACTTGCGGGATTATTGGCAGAAAATTGCGGATTTGGGCCAAATCACGAAATTTGTTGTATCCTTAGAATCGCTATTTGCGTACTGTGGAAATAACCTATGAGCAGGATCATGGAAAGCACTGTATGCTGCGTGAAAAGTGCAGAAAATGTCAAAAGAAATGCAGCAAACAACACAAAACGCGGGAAATCGCGGGTTTTCAGAAAATCGCGAAATTTGTTGCGTCCGTAGAATCGCGATTTCCTGGAGGGACAGACAGGTCACACACCTCACCTCAGACCTGCCCATCGCTGAAGCGATGATATCAAACAGCTATGTTAGACATAGCAACTTGTGCTGGGATTATACCATTCAACAGCTTGCAAGGCTGATGAATTGACCGCCACTAATTTTAGCCTGGTATCCACCACACAGCTGATTGAAGTGGCTTTTTTCACACACACACACACATACACACACTCCAAACGACGTAACAGTTCGATGCCCAAAAGTATACAAATTGACGATGAAAGAGAAAACAAACTGCTACACGTACACGCAGGGAGGAGAGAGATAACTTGGCACGACATGTCAGGAAGACACAAACAAAACAGACAAAAACCAAAACGGTATAAAAAATTAAATGGTAAGTTCAGCCGACCATCAGCTGAGCCAATGGTGGCAGGGAACGCAGGGATACGTGCGACAGCACCCACAACCTAATGCACACGCTGTGTATTGGGTTATCCTGCGTTTGTCGCCCCTACTCAAACACACAAGTGCTCTAAGCTCTAAAGTTGATTGAGAACATCCGACACAGCCCTAGTGTGTGGCAGCACTCAACATCAGAAAGTACCTCCATCAATGTCATGCTGCTGCTGCATGTCTCAGCTATGCGCACCGGAAATTATTGCTCGGGCCAGGTTGCGCGCTAGAGCCAAGCGCAGCAACGACAACTTGTCCATCAGCTGCTTGATCTAGGGAAAGAGCGAGACACGCACACACACACGCACGCACACACACACACACACACACACACACACACACACACACACCTCAGACCTCAGACATGCCCATCGCGGGAGCGATGATAGCGAACAGCTATGTTCTAGACATAGCAACTTGTGCTGGGATTACACCATCCAACAGCTTGCAAGGCTGATGAATTGACCGCCACTATTTTTAGCCTGGTATCCACCACACAGCTGTTTGAAGTGACTTTCTGGCCAGTGAATCCCTATTTCTCATTTTTCCATTTTTTTCTTTTTTTCTTTTTCTACACACACACCACACCACATACTCCGGCACACACACACACACAGGCACACACACAATGGCACACAACAACGCACTGATCAATAGCTTGCCAACAGCCTGCCACTGGTCACACGTCGCATTGCAGGCCCACGAGCAATAGCACAATTGTGCCTGACAGACACATTTCGAAATCGTATCGCAATATTTATCTCTACGAGGTGAATTGCTATTTCTGGACATTGTACATTTCTGGACATTTCGAGTAAAATAATTTTTCGTCGCGTGTAGAGTCAAATCAGTCAGGTTGATGAAGTTTTTTCTTGTTGTAGTTGACAGCTGGGCTGTTGTAGTTTCTCCTCGTGTCGGTGCCTTGCTGATAGCCTTTTCTTGGGAGGCATTTCAACGAGTTTTGTGGTACTATGTCGCATGAGAATTTTGAATTTTGAGTAAAATAAGAAGTAATGGACGAATCGTTGGCTTCCCCATGTGCACTCCACTTCAGACGCTCTATAGTCTTGGACCTGTTGGCTGGAAGTGTGAAGAGGCCAACTGCAGTCCACCAATAGAAAAAATTACAAAAATGGTGCAGTATAGGATGCCTGTTGACGCTATTTTACTTTCATGTCCAGAATTCAATACACTGAAATTTAGGCCAAAAAATTGGCCTGTCGAAAACATCCTGCTATAAAGTCTCTGGGATCACAGCATGAGCAATTGTCACATATTTGGAAAGATGAAGGATTAGGCCATACAATAGATACAAAAAGATATGAAAAATGTAAAACACACAGCCGGTGGGCCTCTATTTTATTTTCATGTCCAGAAATTGCTATTCACCTCGTAGTCAAAAGGGCAAATTTAGAGGGATACATGCCGTGAGAGGGAGAACCAGAGGTTATGCAAATGATGGCATGGCGGTGTAAACTAGTGGATTCGCTACTGGGAGCTAAGCATACAGCGCGAGTCGGCGATTTCGCTTCAGCTAGTGCATCGCAGTACCGTAGAGTTGCCAATGCATTTCAACTGATGATGTCACCGCAGAACCTCCATACACAATAGCAGCGATTCCCAGATGGCTCGAGTGCTCAACACCAGGATGATGTCATCGCAGAACCTCCATACACAATAGCAGGGATTCCCAGGTGGCTCGAGTGCTGAACACCAAGATGATGTCATCGCAGAACCTCCATACACAATAGCAGGGATTCCCAGGTGGCTCGAGTGCTCAACACCACAAGGATGCAGCAATGTCACAACGGCTGAAGAGAACAGTTACAACCCGGTTAAATTCTAGTTGTAACACTGCGTTACATGCACGCACTCTCCTCTTCTGCCTTTGTAACCTGTACAGCCGTCCCTCTTTAATCCAGCACCCTCTATAAAGCAGCACAATTCTCAGCAGCCAAAATGTCCTCTTCATGCACATTGCAGCAGTAAATCAGGTTTTCTAATCCAGCACCCTCTCTAATCCAGCACCCTCCCTAATCCAGCAACCTCTCTAATCCAGCAGAATTTCCGTAGCACACGCATGGTGCCGGATGATAAAGAGACAACTACGTACAGCACCGTACAGCTATCAGTAGCACTCACCGGCAGCTGTTTCTTGCCCAGTATGTTAGTGTCCATGGGCACAGCGTCGTCGTCCATGCCACCATCCCCATTGACTGCAGTCGACATGAAGCCATTGAGACGCGAGCCGGCGGACACGCCACTGCTGTCTCCACCGTCAGCCCCTGCACTGCCGTTACAGTCGCCGGACTGTGCGTACGTTTGCACCTCTTCCAGGCAGTACATCAGTTCGTACGTCTGGTCTCGATCAAAGATAACCTGTCAGACAGAAACAAGAATGAAGTTGCAGATACCACTGCAGCTGTACTTATGATTGAACTATAAAGTGGTAAAGAGTAAAGACACACATGGCAATACGGTACCTGATGTACCAGCCTGCTATGTCGGATACCGCCAACCATGCATCGACTAGGCGCCAGGCGCGAACTGATGGTGATGGTGGCGAGAAGGAGAGCTCTGTGCCAGAACCTTGCAGCCTAGAGAGCGTGTGCGGGCAGACGTGTATTTACCGCCATATTGCCAAGTGTGTCTTCACCACCATATAATTCAAACAGAAACAAGAATGAGTGAAAAACACCACACTGTCTACTAAGACCATCTGTACTTAGAGACCGGTCACCTAAGCGAAAAGACAATGTTACAATGCTTTCAAGTTACAACACATTCGAACCTGCCTACTAAGACCACCTGTGTTTAGAGACCGGTCCTAACATTACAGTAAGAGTATAACCTCCCAGGAGTGTGCAACTCTCATCACGTGTCTCAGGTACGTTTCCTACTACACTCATACCTCTCTTATCCGGGCGCTTTGGGACCGGACACTGCCCGTAACTTCGAGGGTGCCCGTAACTCCGAATCATATACATCTTGATGGGGAAAAGGCCATCGATATGGCATATGACGTCAATATTTCTACGAAAAGTGACAAAAGAGTAGTAATATTTCCCCTGAAACTCGCCCAAATAGTGCCCGGTAGACCGAAGTGCCCGTAACTTCGAAGTCCGGATAACCGAGGTATGAGTGTATGTACAAACGAAGGATAGCGTGCGCGCAATCCGAATATCTGCCAGGATCATGCTGGAGACTTGCATACGCGCAGTGAGTTTCTGTCAGAGAGTGCTTTTTTTATTACTCCGCTGCTCGCTAAAATGGGCTGGAAACGTACAACTACGACACTACACCACGTGATGTGAGTTTTCGCCGTCGGCGTACCCCATAGAAAGGGTATCAGGAGTTGCACAATCTTGGGGGGGGTTACATGTGTATATACTCTTGATAACAGGCACAAGACCATGCTTGAGCACACATCGTGACCTGTCTTTTAAAGACCGGTTTCCAGTTAACAGTGGAAAGCCGTGATGCCATAACACATTGACTGAGGCGATCAGCACAGAGAGGAAACGCTTGAAATCGGATGTTTGTTAGCATGCCCCCACGTGTGGAAGGACTCCTGCTTGTTGCATTTCAGAGCGGACACAATATCAAACGTGCTGTCACCAGCCACAATCACTCACCTCATCCAGTTCCAACAGAGGTAGGGCATCAAGCAATATTGTTGGCCACAACCTATACAGTGGAGCACATATCAAAAAGACAAATAAATTTAGAAATGAAGATGCATGCCAAACAGATAGACGAAGAGAGAGAGAGAGAGAGAGAGAGAGAGAGAGAGAGAGAGAGAGAGAGAGAGAGAGAGAGAGAGAGAGAGAGAGAGAGAGAGAGAGAGAGAGAGAGAGAGAGATGACAATTGCGATCTATACAAAAGTAGTCTACACAGACACACACACACACACACTTCAAGTTCCACTCACATACACACACACACACACAAACCTAGGATTGCATAGTGCGCCACAAATCTTCACTTACTCTTTAGGTGCCAGTCGAGAGTCCAGCAACGAGAAGAGCAAGCTACCAGCCTGCTGGAAGTCTTGGTTGTTATAATGACGATGAAACTGGTGGTACTGAGCTGGAAGTGAGCAGCACAAAAACACAGACAGACACATGCACAGAACCAAATGCTTGAAGGACATAAGTGAACCAACCAATATACAGACTGCAGGTGTAATAGAGTTTAGAGTGAGCGAAGGAGGAGGAGAACGAGTGTGTGTGTGTGTGTGTGTGTGTGTGTATGTGTGTGTGTGTGTGCACATATGAGAGAGAGAGAGAGAGAGAGAGAGAGAGAGAGAGAGAGAGAGAGAGAAAGAAAGAGAGAGAGAGAGACCTTAGCCAAGTCTCTTCCACGCTACAGATACAGCGCTGTCCAATGAACACAAATAAAGTGCCGTGCACTGAAATCCGGGTGCACGAATACGTACAGAATCATCTGCACAAGTGCATAGCCCAGTGTCGACAAGTCTGTGGCCGCACAGGGCCTCGCGCTCATTACGTCACATAGCTCAAATTCTATGGAGCAGCAACAGCAGCACTGTACATTTGTGATACAAACAGACCAGCAGCAGCAGGACTATATCCACATAAGGTGCATGATTGTCACACACTAGTTCACTTCACTCTCCGCTCTCCGCTCTCTCGTTGTTGCTCACCCAGGAATGTTAGTCGATTGTTGAGCAGCATGGCTGGTCCTAGATTGTCGATGAGATCCAGGTGCTCAAACACACCATCAGCTGAGTAGCGGCTTAGTAATCTGGGCAGGGGGGAGAACGAACAAGAGCAAGAAAATGGCACACACGCGTAAAACATGGCTGCCGACTTTTTTTGGCGGTGCAATTTGTCCCATATTAGGCAGGTACGACCAGCCTTATTCGCTTGAGGAATTGAATGCCGAATCGTTGCCGGTCCGTATCTCTCCCCGTCTTCTGTGTACACACATACTTGCGTGTATATACCCTGTATGCATGTGTGAGCAAACGCACCCCCCCCCCCCCCCTACACACACACACACACACACACACAGAGCTCCTTACCGGTCTGCGAGGAACGCCGCAAAGCTTGATTCCTACAGGGCAAAAGGAGCAGAAGTGACAAGCAGGACAGCGTTGATACAAGCATGCTTGACAAGGATTACCAAGAGCAAGTCCCTCATCCAGTCAGTAATATACCAATGAATTCTGGAGGTCGAAATACCTGAAAAAGGTGAAAATTACCTCAGAAGCGAGGCACTACGCAAACAAGAGGAGACGATGAACAGCAGGCAGGTAGACAAACAAACAGTAGTTGATAGCCGAACCACACAATAGGAGCAAGACTTCAATACTGACAGCTGTAAACGTTTCGACCATACAGCTCTTCTTCAGACAGGTTTCTTCAGATAGACAGATAGACAGACAGAGGGTGAGGGAGGTAAACTTGTCCGGCAACCTTCTTCTGGCTGGACGCCAGGAAGGCAAAGTACGGAGAGCCGCGTAGCAAAGCTAACCTTGCAGCGCAGACACCAGTTGAGAGCCGAGCCGAGCCGGCCGTTCCTGTACGCCTGCATGGCCATGATGCGGCACACGGAATTACCTACACACACCACACAAATACAGGAACAGGCAAGCAGCCGCAGAGAATGCCATTCAGCCAAGGAGCAGCAGTAGCAGTAGTGCATGAACAAATCCCCGCAACAGAGACTGAACGAGGGAGGCCACCTTGCACACTACACTGCTGTACATGCATACGGTGGCCATTTCCTGGGGTGCTCTGGTCCCTAGGCCAACAAAACCACGACCCCATCAGTTTCTAAGCCACCCCAAAAACAACTTAAAAAACCCAGCTACTCCAAAAGTTATAAAAGCAGCAACAGAGAACCATACACTCAACACACCTGCATCAGTCAGGTCCCGCTGTTGACAGATGGACAAGACCTTCAGCGCCTTGCGCTCCGATGTCAGTGGCACACGTGGTACCAACAGATCCAAGTAGGGCCTGGAGTGAAGAACAGGTCAAGGAGAAGCTGTCACTGTGTCAGGCCACACACTGTGGTGAGAGAGAGAGAGAGAGAGAGAGAGAGAGAGAGAGAGAGAGTGAGAGAGAGAGAGAGTGAGAGAGAGAGAGAGAGAGAGCACTCACCCGCCCATGGAGCCACAATGGTCGAGGTAGGAGATGCCAGTTTGCCAAAAGCTGTGCCAAGCACAAGAAAAGGAGAACATAGAGCACTGAACTTGAGCTGGTCAAAACATATCACACAGATGTGCTCGCGTCAAATCAATTCGCAAGTGCAGTGCAACATCAAACACAACCAGGCACACATCAGCAAATCTAGATTCTGCAGCATCTGCCATACATCCCTCACTGGATGCACGAACGGACAACAAGTGCACTAATACTATAGTCTGTTTCAAAAAGATTCACAATCAGGTTTGGGTCTTAAAAAGTATGAAGATAAGGGAAATTTGGACAACAAAGTACATAGAATGGCTTGTTAGGACACGGCAAATTGTTCTGTGAAGGTTTCGGAACAATTGGAGCAACCGTTAAGGAGTTAGAATTTCGGCCAGGTTTCCGGCCTTTTCCCATGGTTTACAATTTGCCCAGGAAGCCAGTATCGATTTTTTATCAAAACCCACGATTTATCGTTTCCTTTTTGGCCTTGTGGTTATGAATGCTGTCTGCTGACCATGAAGTTGTGAGTTCAAATCCCAACCTCTCCTCAAGTCAAACTTTTTTTCATTGTTTTGGTGATCAAGCTGGTACAAGACAAAGAAGATGGCTGCACCAAACGACTTGTTGTTGGAGCTCGCGCTTCCTGCCGAACTGACTGACACTTGACTGGCTCACGCCATGTGAACACACCCACAACACTGCAATGGTGTGAGTGAATTATAATGGAAGTCATCGCGCTGTAGCTTTTTGAGATTTATTTTAGTATTTCAAGATTGCCAATTTATTTGAATTTAGCAGTCAACGCCGCCTTCTATCAGAGTTCACAAGCGTCTGCTTTTCTCAAAATGTCGTCGAAGTCACACGGATAGCTTTGCAAGGTCATGGCCTTGGGAATGAGTCCGTGTCGATGTCGTTTTCGTCAGGGAGTGGTACAATAACATACTACTCCCTGGTTTTCGTCATACGGTGAGTAAATTGCATCGCAGCTCAAAGAAACTATTTTGGTCACAAAACGAATTGGGACTCATGCCGCTCGTCAACATTTACAACACTTTCGTTTCGACATGTCCTCTCTGACTCCATTATCGATACGAGGAAGAACTCGTTTGTTGTAAACCAGACGTACATGACTGTATCAACGTGAGTGAGTTGTCATTTTTCCTGCTTTCGCGCGGAATATTTCTTCGAGTTCACAGTGAGTTTTTCCAGGCAGCGCTCGAGTGCTCATACGGTAAGACGCCAAACTCCGCGGGCGATCGCCAGGATTGCAAATCTTTTTGAAACGGACTGTAGTAGACCTGGATCATGTGTGTGCAAGCAAGCCAAGCCAAAGAGGGCCCATGGAGTGTACGAGGATGGGAAGCAAATACCACCGACACAGACAGCAAGTTGCAACATACCTATCGTGAGACATGAGACTGGTAGCAAACTCCACCAGCAGGAACTCCCGCTGGTCCATACCATATCTAATCGACAAAGACAAAGATGCACAGAGATGTTGGCAAAGAGAGATAGATAGAGAGAGAGAGAGAGAGAGAGAGAGAGAGACCACAAAAATGCCATAACAAAGACCGCACACACGTAATAGGGAGTCTCTGAGGATTTCTAAAGGTATCTTTTCAGGTGGTCCTAGCACTGGACGGAAAAAGACACTAGAGACCGTGCATGCAGCAAAGACAAGAGGTCACACAGACTCACTCTGCGTTGTGCGGTTCCAGCTTTCCACAGTGAAATAGCAGGTCGGTGAGATGTGCCGACATCCAGTGATTGAGCGGCGCAAAGTGCTCACTGAATATAAAACGAGAAGGAACAAAAATGTGTACACACGTGAACACATGCACATACATACATGAACACATGAAACAAGCATCCCCCCCCCCCCCTCAAAAAAGGCAATGCGCTGTCTGCAGCAAGAGTGTGCTCTCTGCAGTCTGCGGCTGCACTTCTCTGACATGGTTGTCCAAACCTAGACTACCTCATGCAAACAGAGATGTCACACGCCTCATTCCATAGCATTTCGTGCAGTCTGTCATGATGACATCACAACACAGTAACACAACACTATGACCCCGGCCCTGGCCCTCGAGTGTACCAGCATGATCGGATGTCAAGGCAACATGGGGGATATCGAAACAGTAGCACAACAGAGACAAGCCAAAGGGCACTGATGACATCATAGCAAAAGCACAACACACACACACACACACACACACACACACACACACAGAACCCCGTACTGCATTGTACTAACCCGCATTGGCGAATCACAGCAGGAATGTCGTACTCGAACGCAGATCTCAGGATAGAATCCACCGGACTCTCCGCAGACCCATAGCCATCGCCAAGGAATGACTGTGGCAAACACGTACAGGGCAAAAAGAGAAATCAACGAAAGTAGTAGCAATGTTCAGTGTGTTATAGTTCTTGTAACTTACTTCCAAGAGTACCTTGTGTGTGAGTACGTGTGTGTGTGTGTATGTGTGTGTATGTGTGTGTGTGTGTGTGTGTATGTGTGTGTGTGTGTGTGTATGTGTGTGTGTGTGTGTGTGTGTGTGTGTGTGTGTGTGTGTGTGTATGTATGTGTGTGTGTATATGTGTGTGTGTATGTGTGTGTGTGTGTGTGTGTGTGTGTGTGTGTGTGTATGTGTGTGTGTGTATGTGTGTGTATGTGTATGTGTATGTGTGTGTGTGTGTGTATGTGTGTGTGTATGTGTGTGTGTGTATGTGTGTGTGTATGTGTGTGTGTGTGTGTGTGTGTGTGTATGTGTGTGTGTGTGTGTGTGTGTGTGTGTGTGTGTGTGTGTGTGTATGTGTGTGTGTGTGTGTGTGTGTATGTGTGTGTGTGTGTGCTGCACGTACATGTACATGTTAGAAGAGAGTGATAAAGCTTGAGTAGAGATAGGCACAAACAAAGCAGCCATAGACCAGCAGTAGGGCAGCCATAGACCAGCAGCAGGGCAGTAGCAGTTCATCCTACCGTTAGGCTGTACTGCAGGTCGACAGCCTTGACTGTGGGGTTGGTGTAGAGCAGCGTACCGACCATTGCCTCGTACCAATTCTCGCACAGCGGACTGTACAGACAACATCAACACGCACACACACGCAAGAAGATCGAGACCAATTTCTACGCATCACGTTCGTCTGACGGTCAATGTTGGGTGTACATCAACGGTGAAAGCAAGCTAGTCCCGACCAGCTCGCTCGAACTGGATGTGGAACAAGATGTTTTCATCTACCCCGGGGCAGTCCCCCTCGACACTGACGAACAAGTGTTGAAGGTACGTCTTGCTGTTGCTCCAATCATCTGCATCAACGTGGAACCCAGATGTTTTCATCGTGCTCTGGACGCACACATGACACTTTCTATCACGGAACTGAAACAGCTGACTGAGAGCTTCACATCATTATGCAGTGTCGCCGTCCAACAAGACGATCAGCTGGTAGAGAGCTTCCAATAAGTCTTAAATGAACTGCCTTCTTTATCAGACAGCTGATCATTCATTCTTATTCTATCCTATTTGAGCGTATACTACTTCCTACTGCAATATCTCATGATAGTAAAAAAATAATAATACTTGGTCCGCCCAGTTAAAATTGGCGCTTATCTTCACACTTGTCTCAAGAAAGAAATACGAATATTTGAAGCAAGCCACGATCACAAAGCACTATATACATGATTATTTACATGTCAGTAAGCAACTCAGTCGAAAATTCAAGCAAGTTACACATCCTCCTCGCCACTATCGTCGCTGGAGGAAGAGCTCAAAACGCACGATCCGGACAGCTGCTGCACGGGTCGTTTCATAGCTTGTTCCACTTCTCCTCGTCTCGAATCACGCTAAAAGGCAGTGCGTGCCTGTCACCTTACCATCAGAAGCTGAGTGAGACTGCCCGCATGTTGACTGTAAGTGTTATCCCCGTTCGTCGAAATAATGCGACTTTGTTTGAGACAAAAAGGCAACGCCATATCAGTGTCCTTTTTTCAAATAGACTCTTGCGCTTGTCGTACTTGCTGATCAGCACCCGTACCCACGCGAGCCGCTGGTGCTTGTACATGCAGCGCAGTGATAGCTTCCGCTTGATGTAGCACCTGTGCGTACTGCACCTACAACGCCGTGCACCAGGCTTTTCGGCTAGTTTCCTGAAAGTCCTTTGCACGAGTGTTTCTCTCAGGACTTGGTGTTTCCTTTGATTAGCTCCTTTGCCCTGTCCTCTGTGAGCTTCAAAGTGTGTCCGCCGGATTGGTCTCACTTTCTGGAGACATCGACATGAGCTGCAGTTTCTTCGTCAGCGATTTGCTGGTGATAGCCCTTCACTAGGCGCTGTACTGTGCAAGCACTGAAATTCAAGCTAGCGAAGCGCTTTTCAGCTTTTCTATACCTCCCCGGGGTAAACAATCCTTGCCATCAGACAGCTGGAAGTAGACAGAAACTGTATTCTCCATCGCTCTGAAATGCGAAGATCCTGACCTATTTTACGGACTTGAGCGGAGGTTGCAGTGTTTTCTTGCGCTGACGGAAGTGTTCGTCGGCGGCAGCTCCGTCAAAAAGACTCAAACGAACCGATCGCAACTTCTGTGATGGTTTGTGCTGTCATGTCGTCGGATGCAATGGTCAATGGTCATGTTCGGATGGTGAATCGGTGGTTCCATGCCGTGTGGCACAGGCAGAACACCAAAAACCAAGTGAGAACATAAGCGCCAATTTTAACTGGGCGGACCAAGTAATAAACTTCTAAAGAACAAGTATGGGTGGTGTTGTGTCGAGTAGTACGTCCGGACGTCCACGGAAAAGTGCTGCCTTGCCTCTTCTGACTCCAGTATCCCCACTGCTACTAGTGGAGTATGGGTTGCAGGAGGTGAAAAGAATGGAATTGGGAAAGATGAACCACGGTGATCTCATGTGCACACCATCAAGGAATGCCTCAATCATGGCAAGGTTCCATCACTGATCATCGGTTTTTGGCGGGCTTGATGGTGATTGGTTGACATCTTTGCATTTTCAACCCACCCCATTCTGACTTGTATAAATACGCATGCTTGTCATGCAGTCGAGTCATTCCTTCACCCAATACAGTACTGATCAATTGCCTCGTGACTTCACATTCTAGGAGATGGATTCCCTTTACGAGCGATGGTTTCACGTTGCAAAGAGTCTTAATAGATCGACTGATCACAAGACTCACGAATGTCAGGTGTGTCATCTGCTAGTACGAGTTGCTGACCACGCTCTTGCGACACACGCAAAGGATAAAGGTGAACGCTCGGAGACTCGTCATGCCTTTGACATTGACCATTTGTTCGTTCGAGATTTGTCATGGTTTCAAGAGTGGACATCTGCTAAAAATGTTATTATGAAGAGACACGCTGCCGTACTCCCATTAATAGGGGAACAACGGATCCGCCGTTCATCCCACCCGAATGTGTGGGTGTAGTATTATCTTTTCCAAGTCCTGCCTGGCAAGCATTGCCAACTGAAACATATTGCTTCCAGTGGGAAGAAAGTCGAACTGGAAGAAGCGCTTGCGGCTGGACAACATGCAAGGCAGGACCTCACTCCTTTTGCTGCAGGGGAGTTTCTGATCCGTTTCAGTCAGGGTTGGTTTCAGGATTGGCATCGTCCCATCCTGACCCCAACACTCGTCGATATTAGCGACTTCGGCGACTTATCGGAAGAAGATAATTCACCCCGTCTTCATATCATGTTGGAGTCTGATCAATCGTACTTTCGTATAACGCAATATGTTGACGAAGAGATCATGGATCGAAAAAGTGAGCCGAAAATTTGAACCTAGATAGACATAGACCCCAGCAATGTATCTACTAGTACTTTATATACCCACTCCCATCCGGGGCAATTAGCAGGTACAACCATTGGGGTACAATCATGATGTCATACCCCTTCCAACACCTACACCCGAAAAATCATTATAAAAAAATAATTAATTTTGTTCCCGTAGCTATGCAGAAGACGTTACTTCAGTAACGTCTGGCGCTAGCCAGGGTCCACACAGCTTTAATTTGGTATTTGTTTGTGTTTTTGTGTCACGCCTGGCGCTATCCGTATCTGACGGCAAAAAAGCATAGGATGTTATAATTTTTTCAATTCTCCTATTTTTTTTTTCAGGCATATCTTGGGATTCGAACCCGCACTATCGCCCTACATGCATTCCCCCATACACTTCGCATTCATACCCATTCTTCCAAGTTGCTTCACGTTATTATCTTGCGTTTGAAAGCCCTATTTGAATATTGCGGGCAGCTGTATGTGGCCAGCTGTGTTTGATGGTACGGTACGGGAGACGGTGTCGTATTACCCTCGATCGTACCTGTCCCGTACCTATCCCCTACCGTACCGTGCCATCGAAGACGGCTGGCCACAATGCATATTCAAATAGGGCTTTCAAATGCAAGATCACAATGTTCGAATCCCAGGATATGCCTGAAAAAAATAGGAGAATTGAAAAATTTATAACATCCTATGCTTTTTTGCCGGTAGATACGGATAGCGCCAGGCGTGACACAAACAAACAAATGTATGCGAAGTGTATCGGGGGATGCATGCAGGGCGCGCGATAGTGTGGGTTAGGCCTTGGCGGATAATGCCGGCAGAAAAATTGGCAGAATTCGGTACTTTTTCTGGTAAGTTTCATGCATGTTTGGTATGTGGATAAAGAAATGGAGCAGAATTCGAGGAATTGCCCGCCATAAGGTTTGTATGGTTCTGCCAATTTCGGTGCAAAAAAAGCAGAATCTGCCACCTTTTCGAGCATTATCCGCCAAGGCCTAGTGCGGGTTCGAATCCCAGGTTATGTCTTAAAAAAAAAAGGATTTTTTAAAAGAATTTATAACATCCCTATGCTTTTTTTGTCTAGGTCATCAAGGCAAAAAAAGCATAGCGTAGGGCCCTGAGCTTCCAAGCTCTCTCGTCCTGGCGACCGTGCCGTGAACCCACTCCCCGATGAACCTGCCTAGTGCAGAACTAAGGACAACTCTGGATGACCCAGAGCTGCCCCGCTGGGCAACGCCCAGCTATGAAACGGTAAAGAAGACCAGATACGGAAGAGCTCAAACAATTCAAACCGTCCTGCTCAAGAGCAAGACAACACGCACGCACGCACACACACACACACACACAGTACATGTCTAGCGACGGCAAAGGTGCAAGAAATTCAGTACAGTCGTGGCATGATGAAAAGTACGATGCCACACGCGCGAGGCATGAGCAAAATCAATCGCACGCGATAGAGAATAAACATGACATGAGCTGGTGACTTTCAAGCATCCAACATGAGATTAGACTAGACTTGAACACAGTCTCAGTTGGTATGTTGTTTGCTACACCAAGCACAGCCGTTGCCAAAAAATCCGGCCAAAGCCATGGATACAGCGGTGTGTATATGCTGCGCGTTCTTCTGTGGCACTTTTATCGATGCATCGAGGCTCGTTCATGGTGGCGTGCGTGCATTTACACTCAGTACCGGCACAGCTGCACTGAGCAGTGTGCGCTGCACTCTGCCTGCTGCTGCAGTCGTCGGTTCGAGCACTGCACTGAGTGTATGCAGGCCTGGCAGCAGGGCATGTGTTCTGCACTATAGTGCGTTTCAAAACTATAGACCTCTAGACTTTTTTGAATAATTCTAATTTGGTTTGAGCTTTTCGAGAAATTTCTTCGGAATATTACTCAGGCAGCTCACGCAATTTTTCTCATATAAATTTCTAAGCGATGGGATAACAGACGCCCAATTTCGAAAAAATTATGCACGAAGTGATCACAGATTTTATGTGGTATAGATGCTGTCCTAGCAATTTTTTGAAACCAGAGGTCTGGACTTTCGAAACGCACTATAGGCCAGTTGACTTTGTGTTGTGGTGGCAGCAGTGGCAGTGCACGCGGCCCATGCACCGTACAGCTACCGGTTGCTGGCATAGCATTGGCCGGATTTTTTTTTTCGCCGACGACTGTACTCTCAGCCAGAAACAATGAATTCCTGTTTCCTATTCAGGACGAAACGAAAAACCATCCCGTTGTCAACCACACTGTTGCTAATCCATATCTCTTTTTTCACTTTTTTGTCGTGAGAAAGGCCTCTTTCACAGGCAAACAGAGCATCACCAGTGAATAGTTTAACCGAGCACAATCAAATAATCATGTCTCTCGTGTTGAAATTCTAGAGAGCGTACTGACGGGGTCTTGCCGACACGACTGCAGTTGGAATTCTACAACAGAGAGTACACTGACGTGGTGGTCTTACCGACACGACTGCAGAGCGGTGCTGTCGCCGCTCATGATCTGCGCAATGTGCTGCAGCTGCGGTACGGCACTGAACTCTCCCTCGGCCGAGCGGCTGCGACACTCCTGCTGCCAGCGCTTCCACCGCAGCGAGAACTCCGTCAGGCTTTGGCCGAACAGCGCCTGCACGGTGACAGCAACAGCAACAACAACGGTAGAGCAATGGTAAACATACTAGCAGATATCAAAGTCCGTACTGGCGAAATTAACGCATCTTCCGTAAGTACATGTAGTAGTTTCCACTTACTGTAAAATGAGAAACTTTCGCTAGGGATTAAATTTTGCTATTTTCGCGACCATCCTACATTCGCAAATGTAAATCGCCGCAAACTGCTCTGTACAGGGATTGAAAACTGTACAAGATCCAATTCGAGAGCTAAAATCGCAAACATTTCTGATCGTGAACTAGGGCGATTCTTGAAAACACAAAATTTGCAAGCTGCGAAAGGCTATTGCTTTACAGTAAACATGTCGGTGAAACGAAGGCCAACTCAATCACAATACTGAAATGATAGCGCGTCAAAGTGACAAAAAAAGGTGAGTACTGAGTACTTCAAGGAATACTTGGTCCGCGTCAGCAATATTGTCGCTTATCTTTCGAGAATTTGAACTTAGACTTTGGACATCAACGCGTGCATTTGAGGTGATAAAACTTGGTATGATGGAAGGTAAGGTATAGAATGACAACTAGCCATGAGGAATTTATTGTCCAAGGAAGGGTTCATGCTTTTTTTGGTCCTCCTCGTCACTGCTCTCGGCGCTGGTGACAAATATTTTTGATCGGGATCGACTCTCTCGCTTTCACAAGCTCATCTCTCTTCCTCTCCCCTGCCTGGCTATTTTCTAAAGGGAAGTCGATCGTGACGGTCGCCTTCCCTATAGTACTTCGCGTGGGCAACACGACTGCCTGTGTGGTTCAAATCAGTCACCGTTCTTTGCAATATTTATTTTGAACGACAACGACGCGTACAGTACTTGCGAATCTCCACAATGTGCTGGATACTCCGAGCATTGAGCTGGAGGTGAGGGAACTGCGATCTCAGCTTGGCGAGCGATCCCTGAGGTGAGCGATCTCGGCCGTTTTGCAAAATGGAACTGATTCCGAGTAGCCGATTACTTTCTTGTTCGTCGCGCTGCTCTTGCCTGCGCAGTGTGACAAGATAAATCGATTTTGATGCAGCGCTGTATCAATCAGTATCACCCACCCGTCGCTCTTGAAATACACTCGAAATCTAGCTAGACCTTTCAGGTACTAGCAAGAGTACATAACCAAGAGTGTGCAACTCGACGATCTCCAGCCCACGGCGGAATTTTTTTATGACATCAGTCTTTGGCGGCTGTTTGGCTCGCTGATGCCATCATGCGTAGCCAGAGATCAAAGTACAAAGAATTTGTAAATCACAGCTACGGTAGTCGAAGCAGAACAACGGACGATAGATCGATGTGTCCTGAACCTGGTGAACGCTCACCGTATCTACAAAAATGCACGGGAAAGCATACGCACTTGATCATACTTCAGCCAAAGAATGACGCAATAAAAAAATTCCGCCGTGGGTGAACCCATCGCAGCTCGAGATAGGAGTTGCACACTCTTGGTTATGTACTCTTGGTACTAGTAAACTAACTTACTAACCAAAATTGGGGTGAAATGGGCTGCCAAGTGAGCAGGGGCGGATCCAGGGGGGGTTCGAACGAACCCCCTAAATTTTTTCCGACCATGGTGCAGTTTTTTTTTGTTTTGTTTTTTTTTTACAAAAGCCAGGCATGCGAATTGCTCCTAGGATCCTGCCGTAGCGCATATATAGCCCGAGCTGAATCATGCAGATGTTACATTGATATGATCCTCAGACGAACACCTTGCCAATAGGCCTTTCCCAAATCGGCCATTTATTTTGGCCTTTTCGGCTTTTCGATCGGCTGAAAAAATCGCTAAAATCGGCTGAAAATTTCTGTAAAAGGTGGAAATTCGGTTCTAAAGTCGCAGCCACCTTTCGCAGACAATGATTACAGAAATTGTATTTGCATGCTATTGAGGCACTAAAACATCAATTTTCGGCGAATTCAGTGCGAAAATTGCGTATTCGGCTAAAAGATCGGTGATTTCTTCAAAACCACTTTTCGGCCAATGTTTCGGCCGGCAGATTTGGGAAATGCCCACGGGCCGTGACGCAGGCGCACACGAGCGGTCATGCCCAGTTGCCCACGACCCTGCAAAACATGTACATTGTACTACTTTCACTTTAGCTCATGCATATACATGTACCTGTACATGTACACCCTTCAAAGCGGTGACCCCCTTGTACTTGTAGTCTAGGAGCCAAGTCAGCAAAAGTCCAAGGAATAAGGTATTGATAGGCGACAAGCCTCTGGGTCATCCTAATAAAGATATTATTACTTCCTCCGTATACAAAAACTTCGTGACTTTTTTTGAACGGTGTTTTTGAGCAAGAACCTGCTCAACGAACGGTGCCAAAGGCTGTTATCGACAACTCCCGTCCATGTCGAGGTTAGTTTGGTTGATCCCGAACAGATTCTCCACGGACGCCATGCGTGTGAGGACGTTGCGGACAGAAACTCAAGAGTCAAATGCAATAAAAACTAACACTTACTTGCTCGAAACTGACACAGTGACGAAGTGTAGCTCGTGGCTGGAACACGGAGTCGAGTCACGCGGCACTCGCTGCCCTGAAAGTGGCCAGGCTCGTACTTGCGGTGCGCGGCCCCATAGTCATCTACGTAGCGTGAGAACATAGATTTGTTTCGCTCGCACGGCAAGATGAAACATTTTAGTCGTCGTGCAACCAGCGCAGACTCAGGATCAGAATGTCGATGGCCTGGCTTTCTTCGCCTCTCTCCAGTCAGACGTCTCTTTTGTCGCCAAGGGGAATCGTAGGGACCTCCTCGAAGCCATTGTAGAATGCTTGGGAGGATTATCCTGGCGAGAAAATGCGAAGCGTGTGGATGTGCTTGTACGACTCGTTTCACGGCATAATGGAGGTCGCGGGTTGGAACGACTGAATATAGTCGACACCGATTCGTACACAGCTCTAGAGATGAAGAGGACGTAGCCAAAGTCCAGCATCGGATCATCACTAAAGGTGACAAGAATCTGAACGAAATGCGAGCGGAATCAGCGACTGTTGGCGATGCGGAGTCAGCGTCGTCAGGTGACAATGACATGAGCGACGAAGACTCTGAAAAAACTCAATCTCATTCGTCTGAGTTGCTTTTTTCTTTGTATATAGCTTGTAAACAGGTTAGACAATGCCACGAGTGTTATTCCGAGTCAAACGGAACAATCCAGAGCTGTGCGCAGCTTTCAAAAAAAAGTCACGAAGTTTTTGTATACGGAGGAAGTATTATTATTACATGTACATGTATATTCGGCGATTTCTTGGTAAAATCTCAGAATTTGGCGAAAAGATCGGCGATATTCTGAAAAGGCTACTTTCGGCGAATTTTTCGGCCGGCCGATATGGGAAAGGCCTACTTGCCAACATTCAACGCTTGGCCGACACGTACTCTGATGATCTGCCAAGCTCTTCAACTATATCAACTGACATCCGAAAGTGGGGCAGGAAATGGAAGGACGCAGCAGAGAAGTCTCGTGCACTTCCAGCTACCCCACGAGCTCTTGTGCATTGTGATGCCGATGTTTTCCCGAACATCCACGTCCTCCTCCGGATTGTTTCAACACTACCCGTCACCTCTGCGGAGAATGAGCGCAGCAACACTGCCTTGAAATGGCTGAAGCACTACCTGCGCTCGAGCGCTCGACAATGGGATCAGAGCGCCTATCCTCTAGCCGTTTCCCAAAGGTGCCCGCCCTTTTTTCGCCCTTTTTGGAAAAGCCCGTTTCTTTCTCCCTTTATAAGGGCGGAAGAAAACTGAACCCCCCTTGGAAAAATCCTGGATCCGCCCCTGGTGAGCATTGGCGACATAAAAACAAAGCTGAAAGATAAGCGACAATATTGCTGACGTGGACCAAGTACACATTTTATAATAATGATATTAGCGCCAAGTCATTGGTGCTCATTGGCTGTTCCCTATTACACAAGGAGACAGTGATACGCAGTATATACTGGTATTAGTAATAGAAACTAAGCATACCTGTGGGACCGGCATCTTGCGCAGCAGCTCATCCAAACTGCTGAATGCCTGCAAGAGGATTTGCACACATGAAAACACACACACGCGTGCACACACACACACACACACACAATGCGACATCACATGTCTGCAAGCATGTTGAAAAACACCTATACATGCATCTACACAGACCAAAAAAACAGAGTTTGGGTTATCAAAACTGAGAGGTTCTCTGGCTACACCCCACCCTCTAAGGAAGATAGACGCAGTGAATACTTGTCCAGTCTGGTTCTCAAAACATTCGGAGCGGAGACAAGGCAACTCCGAGGAAGCCGCTAGGTGCTAAAAAGGACTACCAGTATGGCCTTATGGCGTCTTCCTAGATAAAATTAAATTTCACAGTTCGCGTCAGACTCGGCTAGAGGCCGAGTTTTCCGCATCCGTAGGAACGCCACCACCCTTCAAGGATTAAGGCCTAGATGCTAGATGCTACTCCTTAACGGCAAGACTACACTCACACTATTGCTAACTCTAGTTGTGCTAGGGGAAAGCCGACCCAAGGCTCATGTCTAATATTCGTCAGCCCGGATTAGCACAGCCCTTGAGGCTCCGGAAGTAGCTGGAATGCTGCTGGATGTACGGATGAGATGTACAAGTACAGTGATGGAAGTTACCATGGGGCCGGTTCACGACACCAGCTGTGCACTTTAGGTGGGAAAATCACCTAGCACCGCTCCACTAGACATGAGCTCAAACAAAGGACAGACATATCATGACCAACTATGGTAGAGCTAGAGCTTACGGATGCGGCCGCGGAAGCGCGGCGCGACGGCAAGCGTGCCAGGAGGTCGCGCACGGTGTCGATGCGGCCCTGCAACACCAGCAGGTAGACGGTGTCCCAAAACATGTTGCCACCGCCGCCGCCAACGTCGTCCTGCTTGCCGGCGACTGACGCTAGATCAGGGTGACTGAGCAGGTCGCGAGCGCGCTCCTGGGCATGATGGCCGTGCCAGCGTACCCACTCCAGCAGCGGCTGCATGACGCAGCCGACAGGCAGCACCTCCAGGAAGATGATCTCGCAAAGGTGCCAGATGAGCTCCACGTTGCCAAACAAGACACTCTGCAAGTACGTGCACAGAAATGAGAGGAATACACGGATATACGGGCACAAGCGCACACACATACACATGAGTGAGACCAGTGAAAAAGTCCGTAAATATGTACCTGCCCGAAAGAAATACCCCCTTCATTCTTTTGGCTCTGTCTGTTGAAGTCAAGTCAAGCCCGATAAACATACTGCCCGAAATAAGTACCAGTACGATGCGCACATGCAGCACGCAGCATGTACATCGACATGAAAATGACTTCTCCACTACACACAACTCAGGTCCGAAAGTTAGTTCGTGCCCGAAAGTCAGTACCGGGCCGAAAGTCAGTACGGGTGTGGTCACTAAATTCGAAAGTAAATACGTACTTATTTACGGACTTTTATTGTATGTATAATTTCAATCCTATAATTATAATATTGTAGGGAAAGAACTCAAAGACAAAGAACGTGACCCCCAGGAGATAGAGATAGATAGATAGATAGAGAGAGAGAGAGAGAGAGAGAGAAAGAGAGAGAGAAAGAGAGAGAGAGAGAGAGCGAGAGAGAGAGAGAGAGAGAGAGAGAGAGAGAGAGAGAGAGAGAGAGAGAGAGAGAGAGAGAGAGAGAGAGAAGATATTCAAACAGTGGCTTCCGGATATTCTATCACTGCAATGCAACGATACACGAGCGTCGTCACATTACACGTACTTCATGTTGTTCATTAGAGGCAGAACGTAAGCCATGGCCGTTGGTTGGTACACCTCTCGCTGTCTCGTGCCTCGCGTTGATCAGGCACGCGTGCAACACAGCACGGTACTGGCGACTTATATGTAATAAACTGCGAGACAAAGAGCACACAAGAGGTGCATACACAGGTCAACATGGTGGTTGTACCTAGAATGAAACAAAAATCCAGTGTCTGCTCCAGAGCCGGGTCAGCCGGGTGAGCGACCTGGTTGGGGGACACTTGGACCCGCTTGGAAAAAGAACACCGGGTCACTTGCTACCCGGTCGGGACTCAATCAGGAAGGCCCAAGACTCCCTGATGTACAATAGCCGCACGTACATGTACGCGGGACTGACCCGGTTGCAAGAGCTGTGTCAGGTACACGTGTACCCGGTTGGTTTGAAATCCTAGAGCAAACGCTGAAATCGTGTCAAACGTGGGGGGGGGGGGTTGCATATTTATTCTGCCAAATACAATACCACACGCACGCTCATATCTGCCCATGCACAGACGCACGCACGCGCACAGACACACACACACACACACACACACACACACACACACACACACACATACACACAAAGACACACATACCTATTCGATCGGGACGAGGAGGTGCTGGCCCCGACTTCTTGCAGGGCGCAGAAGATGGCATGGCACTCGCTGATCAGCTGGCCACATGCTACAGAGCTGACATCACCACTCAGCGCAACCTCATGTACGGGAGGCTCTCGCTCACCGCCTATACCACAGACAAACACCGCAATAAACACACAAAAAATAAAGAGACACTGTTGTAAAGTATAACCTACTGGTACGCGGAGACAACAATTTAATTCCCGTAGCTATGCAGAAGACGTTACTTCAGTAACGTCTGGCGCTAGCCAGGGTCCACACAGCTTTAATTTCGTGTTTGTTTGTTTGTGCCACGCCTGGCGCTATCCCGTATCTGTCCCGTACCGTATCATCAAGAGAATGAGTATGTATAGTAGCATTATGTATAGCATTAAAGCGGTCAGCACCAAGAAATGAGAGACTGTAGAGGCCTAGCATATATGTATGCGAAGTGTATCGGGGGGAATGCATGCAGGGCGATAGCGCAGTAACGTCTGGCGCTAGCTAGCCAGGGTCCACAAAAACTTCCTCCGTTAACAAAAACTTTGTGATGGATATGAAAACGCTTAGAACAGGTCAAGAACAGTTTGTATCGACTGCAAACCACTGGACGAAGGTAGTTCAGCTCATGTACAGCGTCTTTACAAGAGATTGTCAGAATGAGCAGAGTTCAGTTTGCGTCGCATTCGCTCGACTAAAAGCATAGCGTAGGGCCCTGAGCTTCCAAGCGCTCTCGTTATACTAATAACAGGGATAAACTACACACTCATATTCTATACACGCATCCAGGTAAAGTTGGTTGGTAATTGTTCCAAGAACGGTTTCTCGACATCGTTGTCGCACATATTGTTGTCAGCTTAGCACAAGACGCTTTCCTAAATGGGCATAGACAACCAAGATAGAGAGGTACTATCCCTTGGCGGGAATGGGTTTAAAACCCAGTAACTACTTTTAACATCGTCCGGGGGGAATCTTCTGCTGAGCGCTAGCCCTTCTTGCCATCAGAAGAATATGCTGGAGGCAGTCCTAAATTATCAACACAAAATGACAAATGCTCTGACATAAGACAACGCTTTCTGGACACCTGTGCCAGTGAAGTATGGCGAAGCAGGTACAGGCACTCGTACTTTCATGTTTGTGTATTCAATCCACACGCCCCAGAGAATGCCAAGTTTGCCGCTACAAAGAGTGTACTATTCATGTGGGGCATGCCTGCCTGCACTTTTCTTGCTCGTAAAATGGCTATTGAACATCGACGAAATAAAATACATGTAGCCCAATATTGTCCCTATCTAAAAATAAATTCCAAAAATATTTTTATCAATTATTTGGGGGTGTCTCCGCGTTGGCATTGTGTATCTTTCCAATAGTAACGTAGCGAATGCATAAAACATGCTCGCATCTCCATGATCAGTTCTCCCGTGTATGAACTACTTGGCACCATCGACTCCTCAGTGTTTTGCAATCTACAAATAAATTCAAATGCCACAAAATTGTGATAATTCATTTGTATCGTATTTTTTGGAGGCTGACCTGTGGCGGCACGATTCTCCACGGGAGCCGAAGGACTGCCACTGCAGACACTAGAATACACCACGGCACGATCACCGCTGCTGAATTTCACTCCCAGCCCTCCATCTCCGGACGACGAAAATTGAGACATTCTGGTGTACGCAGGCAGGCATACACCAAACTAACGTTTTCAAAGACACTTTTTGAAACAACTCAGAGTTGTGGCACATGGACTGGAGTGCAATTGGGCATGTCGGAGAAACTCAATGAGATAGAAACACAATAATGTTGAATCGAGAAAAACCGGGCGGCTCTGCTGTGCTCAATGAATGGAGAGAACCAAAGATATACAAATCACTTGAATGACTACGACTTCGTAACAAAATCAGGCCATTCGCTTCCTGAAAGACGAAAAATCCTTGCCAAGCAACACCTTCCTTGATCTTCCCGCCACCGAACGAAAAACGAAATCTACAGCTCGATAATATCCTTCAACTCTTTTTTTGTCTGGTTTGTATTAGATTTTGGACACTTACAGCAGGCAAGCCAGACAAGTTGATGACGTTAGGAAGACTTTGGCTGAAAACCAGGGTAAAACCTTTATTCAAGTACCTGAACCCCAGCTACGTCACTGATGCATGACACGCATCTTTTTGAGTGTCGACACAACATGACGTCTTTTCAAGCCCCCTCTCGATCACACTTGATTTCGAATTATTTTGAAGAACTATTATTCAGGCTTTCTTTGTTGAGCAGGAAGTAGTTGGTCGCAACTCCTTTCTTCAATGCACCTCTGTCGTCTTGCCTAGCAGTGTCCTGCTCCCAGGTCTAATGGCGTAGGGAAGCTTTGTATTGGCGATCACTACTCCGCAAGTCACCCAGTGCCCAAGGCCTAGCACAAACTTGTTTTCATCTTGAAATGGCTGCTGACGCTGCAGTTTTGAAATTGGCTCATCGCAAGGAGGTGAACTTGCTGCAGAGGTACGATCGAGCTTACGAGGTGGATAGCATGCGTTCCTCGGCCACCACCTGCTCTGCCCAGAAACGCCGCTCCGAGGATCTGGAGATTTCGGCGGACCAGGGAGCTTTGCTGAAACGCCTCTGCTCGGATCAAGAGGCATCTGCAGGGGGTCCTAGTAGTGGTAATGTGGCGGTAGGGAAGCGTGCTGAACCTCACGTCCACCCGGCCAGATAGGATCTCATTGCTCCAATGTTCATATCTGATCTCTATCTACTTGACTACCCGGTAGTGGGAAACAGCATCGGAACATATCGAGCGAACTTGCTCCTCGTGGAATCAAACTCCAGTCCTGAGGTAGGACCAACAGTTTGGAAATGTACACTAGTTTCACCGAGGAATACTCTACTGCCGGCGCAGGCGCTAGGCCGATGATAGTTTAAAACTGGCCTATTAGTCGTGGAGAAGTCGACTAAGCAAAAGATAGTGTGCGCCCGTGCTTGTTTGCATGCGTACGTGCATGTGTGTGTGTGGTGGTGGTGTGGGTGTGTGTGTGTACGTATGTGTGTGTTTGTTGCTATGTCTAACATAGCTGTTCGCTATCATCACTTCCGCGATGGGCAGGTCTGAGGTGTGTTCGTGTGTGTGTGGTGAGAGAGATTTTATTTATGTGTACCTCCGATCCGGCGTATTCTCTCATGGGTCAGCAGCACTCACACCCCGATGTTAAAGTGACAGAAATGTGGATTATCGTGAACATCCCCTCCCCGTTCCCCTAACACGCATCTCTGAATCGCCTCCTGCAAATGTGCCCATCCCCGCTGCACACACCAGGCGAGTTTTAACCTAGTCAGTGAACGGCAGGCTGTATCGAAACAAATGTCTCCGTGCCCGTCCTCGTGTCTATTCCAACTACCAACGTTATATTCCTATGCTCCAGTACTAGAAATACTCCCATACCCGTCGACTGTACAAAGGACGAATCTTTCATTGAGTGCTCTCTTGATGTCCAGCTTTGCCTTGGTCATGCTGTCTTGCCTCGGTTGATGTGTCCTATTTTCAATGCTACGGCAGTGTCTTTCTCCTGGTGTCAACCGCTTACTAATTTAAGCGGGATTCACAGAAGCTTTTTTGTGATGCGACACGCGACAGGCGCGAAACAGGGAAAACCCCAAATCGCAGCCATGTCGCGGACCACGCAACTGCCGCAACTGGGCCATCGCAGAAGTTGAGCTTGGCTCAACTTTTGCGATGCGATGCGATGCGACAAGCGATTTGGTGTACGATTTTGACCTTTTCTACAGCAAAGTTGTACAAAGGTGCAAGAGTTGCCTATAAATTTTTACAAGTTGTGTCAAACCGCGCGAATATCATGTTGACGTACCCAAATCAGCAAAACTTTGTCGCATCGCTGACTTCTTCTGTGAATGGTATTTCGCGAGTTCGCATCGCACGCATCCATCGCAGATCGCGTCGCATCGCGTGTCGCATCGCAAAAAAGCTTCTGTGAATCCCGCTTAAGTCTTCACACCAAAGTAGCCATCTATAGTATATCCTAGATCTAGAACTAACCGGTTTTTTTTTACCCGAGTGAAATGTTTCTTTCTTTCTTTTTTCACCGACTAGGTAGGTGTAGGAATAGGTATGTTGGTGTTTTATAATTTTGTTATTTTCTGTCTTGCATTGATTTGAGAGCAGTGGTGTGCAGTCAACTTGTGAAAGAACTTTGAGGCAAACATGATTTTTGAGACCTTCTGCGTGTTGTACTCAGGGCGTGATAACATGTTCTGCTGCTCGCTGAGCGTAAACTGAGTGTGATCAGGAAGCTGCATGGCGAATACTCTTTGGTTGTGATCAGGGAGTAGTAAAATAAAGCTACTCTCCTGGTTGTAATGCTGGCTGTGCTTCCAGCCTGTCTATGCGGGCATGCAGCAAGTAGACTCTGTGAATAATCAAGATACTGTGTGTGTGGTGTGGGGGGGGGGGGGGGGGGGGCAAAACTAAAGTAGAGTTGCACGCCGAAGAACGTCCAGCCTGATATGCTAAGAACGGCGATGTTGGCTTTCCGGCAGCTTTTGGGATGCATGTGATTCAGTATGAATTATTTCTGGGAACGCAGTCAGATTGCTGAAAAATAAGAACGTCCAAGGCTAATTTCTTGGAAACAACGTTCTTGGGCACATAACTCTTCTGTTGTGATTATCATGCACCACTGAATGTCGTACTTTCCTGAATTTTAGTTGCACGTCTACGCTACAGGCCAGATACTTGAAGTACTATTTATACTGGGGAACCTTACAACTTTGCAATGGCGCCCATGCATTGCAAGCTACATGCTAGTACATGCAAACGCACCGAATTTAACCTATTTGAATAACAGGCCCGGGACCTGAAAATGGAGCTAGGTGGGAGTGCTGACCTGAGCTTTTTGTGATACAATAATAATCATTATATTGCATACTGAAGGACTAGATAAAGGGATAAGCAACAACATTCGGCCCCAGGCACTGTACAGATCGGCTGTCAGCTGGCCGGAGAGTGCATGCAGTTATGGTGTGGTGGTCAATGGCAAATCTGCATACTGAAGTCACTAAAATGACATCCTGTACAAGCACTGCCTGCATGCAGGAACAACCTGTCACACTGTTTACAGTGCAAATTATTATCTATCTACCTTGCGAACGAAATATTTCAGCCACAACAAATTTTAGGCCTCGGAAGCTCGCGGGCCAAAAAGAGCCAAGTATTTTTTGGTGATTTAAAATGTTGGGAACGCGAGGGCCTGGGACACTTGAAAAAAAAGATCTGCATTCATCACAACTATGGCAGTGACCGACTGCGCAGCTGCCGGCATGTCCGGACTGGACGATTTAGGCATTTTAGCTACCCCCTCACGCCACCACCCCGTGATCAGGCGTCAGATGCGGCTCCGGAAAACAGTGGGGGAGGATAGATCAGATCTACCAATAACAACCCGAGGCCAAAGGCCGACATTCCATTCGACACATCCATGCTTTCTTCGTGCCATCAGGACGTTGTAAAATACAACCACCCCCATCCCAGGCTGGGACAACACAAGATAGTGCACACACAAGATAGTGCACTTGTACAGCGGTGTGTGCTGTACAAGTACTTCGCAGACAATGCACCAGAATCGAGCAGAAAATCACTTCGGAAGTCACGAGTCCGAACAGGACTGAGCACACTGGATTTCATGTCACAACAGACAGACGACCAAGACATGGGAAAACAATAATACCACAAACTGGCGCACGATGCTGTGGAAAATATTAATCAAATCTATAAACACAAACATGCACGCACACAAATACTTATAAATACAATGACTCTGGAGTAGACATGTCCAAGAGCTCGCACACTCCGACGCAGAGAGAGCGGATCCAGACTGAGCAACTCTGGAGCAGAGTAAGCAAGAAACACCACCCCACCAATGGAGAAAATACCAGCAATGGTCTGAAAAAGAAAGAAAGAAGACTAACCAGAGGGTGTCCAGTGATGATATCAGTGCTTTACGAATATTAGAGAGGGATCCGAGAGATTTCGTTAAAGTCATAATGAACAATAAGGCGGATAAGTGACGACCGCTGGCGTGCTTGAGGAGTGCCAGGAGCAGTCGGCGCTACTCGCAGGAGCTTTGCGAGCGGCACGGACGACCAACGGTCGGAGTAGAGCGACATGACGCTGGGTGGGGAGGGCCCGGTGGTGCACACAATGATGTAAGAAGCACCTGGGAAGTACGTCGGGGGTACTGTTGAGCTGGGCCGCCCACCCGGCGCTGATCGCATGCAGTAGTTGCTCAAGGGTATGTCCTGGCGGTGCCCATCACAAGCAGCCATCGCAGGACAGTTACCGGTTGAGAAAGGCATAGGGCCAGTAGTAGTATATAGGGTATTGCAACCGAAGTTTGAGCTGCTGCGGCACACCAACACACACACACAGTGATGGTGACATCATCGGTGGCTAGCCAGTGACATCATCGGTGGCGCTACATCGCCGTGGTATGCAATCACTGTGGCAGAGGAAAATACTGTAGTGTTACAGGTGTATCGTTTACAGGCGACCGGAGTGCTTGGCATGGTTGATGCGCGCCTCGCGTTCTGTCTGTGGCTCAGCTTCCTTAGCAGGACTGCTGGCTGGCGCAGCGGTGGTGGTGTCGCGTTCTAGATCGCGCACCATGTTGTGCGTGGCGCCGTACCTGGCGGTGAGGGGCGGAATGACGGCCTCGAACTCGTCCTGCGCGTCCTGAATCTCGGCGGAGCTGAGGCCGAGCGAGGCACCGACCATGTCGAAGGCGAGACGTGCAGTCTTGAGCACGTCGAGCTTGCTGCCGAGGCCCGGGTTCACCTCAACGATGTCCATGCCGCCGAGAGCGCCTGTTCTTGCCACCTGCTGGCAGATGTAGATGCCGTCCTCACGAGACAGGCCAAACGGAACTGCAGGGTACGACGAGACAGGACACAACACAAACCAGCAAGAACAACACAGTGTTATCTAGTGTCTCCTTGCAAGTGCAATGCGTACTGTACTGCCTACACCAACAAATCTGTTGATCCCGGAGCCGCGGAGTATGCTCCATGTCATGCGAAGAACATAAAGACAATGATTGCCGTATGGCATGTACCTGTTACAAGAATACTGAACGTCCTCTGCTGAATCTGCTATGTGAACTACTTACACCCACATGACACGTACATGTGTAGTACAAGACTCCTGATGGATTGCTGGTAAGCTTCGTTCTCAGAACGACATCATTGTAATGACATAACCAGCTCCATGTATCAATGCATGCGTGTACGGGATGTGAGATTCTAAAGTGTGAAATGCAGTTTCGCGGAACTGAAGTCGATTGAATCATGAAAAGATCCCTAGATGCTCTTCATAAATTTCGAGAGAGCAACCCACCACTCGTACTTTACAGAAAAAGCATTCAGATAATGCAAAGCATGCCTCTTGCAGCTGGAAACCTTTCCGCCACACCCAATACAGCACGAAAACGGCGGTCAAGCAGGAGCGCCTTGCCGAGGCAGCGCCTGCAAAACAGGAGACAGCGCACTCACCTCGAGTTCCGGTGCTCGGCGCGTACATCGGGTCCAGAGCGTCAATGTCGAAGCTTAAATGCAGCGGCTGCGACTCACTGCACGGGCCAGAGGAAGCAGACAAAAAAGAAAGAAAGACGTGTTCGCTCAGTGCATGTGTTGCGAATTTGTACTACGACTATGATTTACGCATGTCGTTGTATTTGGTTCTTGTCTTGTGGAGTCCAGTGTCTGATGTCAAATATGGTCTAAGTGTACGTGCGAGTATGGTGTGATGTGTGACGTTTATGGTATGTGGTGCATGCAAGAGTACGCGTTGTCAGAGAGTGAGGATATGCTTCCGTCTGTGTGAGAGTGACTGTCAAGTGAATGCTGTACATGCGCAGTGCTAGTTTGGTCTGGGAATGAGAGTCGTGTGTGATTCGTCCGTGGTCTGGTTGTCTTGGTCATGTGTTCTGTACGTATGAGTCCCTGATTGGTCGTCACGATTTGTCCTCGGTTTATTACTGCTTGCTCTTTTGTTGTTTTCGTTGAGTCTTTTCCCGGGAGTCTTTCCGTTGTCCTTTTTGTCGTCTCCAAGTTTGTCTCTCTCCTCCTGCGCCCTCGTCATTTCTTGGTATAATATAAGTATTGAAGATACAATCAAGAGTGTGCGTTGTTGTGTGGCGGGGGCCAGGGGGAGAAGCCTACTTCACATGCACAGTATTTCATACACCAAACAAACCTATCGATCACAATAGTACCGGAAAACAAACTACCAGAAATGGACCATTTGGCATCTGGGTGAAAAAGCAATGACGAGCCATCAAAAAGCAGCTTTTTGCCAGCAACAGCCTATTCATTACGAGTAAAACACAGCCAAACTCTCTACCTTGGTTTGAGCAGATTCATGGCGTCGTTGACGACGGCCTTGACACCGCGCTGCTCGACTTCAATGTTGTCAAACGACTTGATGCCCAGACGCTTCATGATCTCCCTGCAGAGCGAGCGTGAACACATCGCCACACGTGTGCAAACAAATGCACGTACACACAACACACAGAGATCTGATAAGCACACTGCAACCCAACACCGTATCTTACAGCAAAACCGAGAAAGACATAGAGATGAGTGGGACGTCAGCCACAACTGACATAATTATAAGAACCAGCCAATTGCTAGGTTCTCACTCCCGTATATGCGCGTACACACGCACACTAATGACCTCATGCACCTTTGTCCCGCTCCCCGACACTCGAACTGTTCGACCCTGCAATCCCCCCGCACATGATCCCGCTTTGCCGTATTATCCGTTGGCCTGGGTTGCTACATTCGCGCTCATCATCCATACATTGCCATAGCAAGCCCGAGTTGCTAAACCGTACAGACGCAAGCTTCAATTGAATCAGAATTCTCCACTTGTCATTAAATTTATCACTAGCATCAACTATGACGAGTACACAGAGACAGCCAACCACTCTCAGCTCTGAACAAGGTCGAAACAGCTAATTGTCCGGAGATTGAGTGAGAGTACACGGTTATTATATGTTCGCAACTGTACTGGTACCATAGAAGTCAGACAGAAACAACAGCCGGAGAAAATTCAGAACTCACTTCTCTCCGTCATCCACATCGCGCAGTCCGATGTACACAATATCTTCCGGTCTGAGCCTGGACACGAGGACACACACATACGCGCACATAGTGACACACAAACATACACAGCGAGTACAAGCAACTGAACAACGTGGTGCCCAGCATCATTTTTACATCATGCCGGTGAGGTCACACTGCCAGTAAAATTAGCCTGTCCAAGCTTTGTAAATAAAATCTTTCAAATTCATAGCGATCAAGACAGGCAGACAGGGGAGCATTGGTCGGATTAGAAAGTTGCACACCACACGATGACTTACTTGCGCTCGAACCAGTCGAGACCGGGCATGTTAGCGAAGGCGCCCTCCAGACCCTGCATGAGCACACCGAGTGGCATGCCGTGCAGGTTGCCACTTGGTGAGGTCTGGTCGGTGTTGATGTCAGCATGGGCATCCACCTGAACAACAGCAACATCAACAACAACATCATCGTGAGAATGAATATTTGACACAACAATGATCTCGTATCGGCCACAGGCCACGAAGATTTTAAACAACAACAAATGAAAATCTCACTCTATTGTCTCTTATTAGCCACAGGTCATCGTGAGAATAAAGATTTTAAACAACAACACGCGTGTAGGGATGGCAACAACAGGAAACAAAGGCAAACGATGTATTGCCTACTGCTGGAAGGGGTGGAAAAGAGGCCATCTTCTTGGGAAGGACATGCCAGACCCGGCGCCCTGGACCTCTTAAAATGTCACCATCAGGTGGAGTTCTCTCCACCCGGCGCCCTGGACCTCTTAAAATGTCACCATCAGGTGGAGTTCTCTCCGCCCCACAGAGTGCTCATCGTTAGACAATTGGCAGGAGCAAGCGGGCCATGAAATGCCAAGCAGTGGAGTCAGCCAAGGATGACATAATCATGCAGTGGACCACACACGCCATGCATGATGGCCATCACACACACACACACACACACACACACACACACACACACACACAGAGTCAGCACGCTAGGCTGCACTAAGTATGAAGAGACGACACTACAGTGGTGCGTGACAATGGCACTTCAGAAAGTTACTTTGCAACACAAGGCCGGCTAGCCACACGACCATGTCACCAATGTAAAGGACCACTTTAGTTTAGGCAGGAGCACTCTAGACACACAGGCAAGACGAGGAGGCCACAAGTAGCCAAACTCACGGTGGGCGCAGCACTTACCCACAACACTTTGAGGTTGGGTCTTGCTGTGGCATGGCCATGAACAGTACCCAGGGCCATACTGCACAACACAGAAAAAAAAACAACAGGACAAGAAGCAAAGCTGTAAGTTGAAGCTGAAAATTGGAAAAGACTCAAAAGAGCAAAAAACATGCTTCCACACTGGGCACCTGTGCATGTACAAATGAGTGGTATGCCTGTTGGAAAACAGATTTACCCAAGAAAAAGAGGCTCTAACAGGCCCCAAAGAAACACACGGTCGGTGGTGTTGTCCTTGTTTGCAAGGCGCAGAGTGTTGCGGTAGTGTGTAATGCATATCGTAATGGCCAGCCAATAAAGCCAATGACACCATGCACTAGTATCATTGAATTTATTCCATCTACAGTTCTTTCTCAACACGTGTGAAAAAGGCAGAGCACTATGACATTATGCAGAACAAGAACCGCTCAGCAAATCAAACTTTTCGAAACGTATGGTGGAATACACAGACAATTCCTGTGTGCGTTTGAAATCGGATGTTTACTTGCGGAATTTACAGTTTGCCGCAACACTACAGTACATAGTATGGAGAGCGGATCTGCTACTCCGATCAGTATGGCCATAATCTACTGTCTGTAGTCTGCGTTCAAGGCAAGAACACGTCTATCAGTGGCAAGAGGATAATTTCATAAACATGAATATAGGGAAGGAGCACTGCATACATGTACGATCACACACAAGTCACTGGTATGATAACACAACTACACTGCCCTATTTGGTGATCAACACTTTGTTTCCAGCATTAGCCATTCTGGGCGGTGCTAGCACGGCAATTAATCCTCTGTATTGACCCCACAGCCTAGAGGTGCTGCATTACAATAATTATTGAATAATGAGCCAATCTCATCGTCAAGACTATGCTCTTTCCCAGCAACAATCCTCCTCTCGGCACCCATCCAGCTCTACTGATTATGGTCTGCAGTAACTGCACTACACACACACACACAGTCTAGGTACAGTGCCAAACCCGCAATGCTGTCCATTTCAGTACTGACTATTGTGCAGTGAAGCATATGGCAGCATCAGCCTATAGCTGGCAACACAATGCCCAGACTCACATAGTCTACTACTAGTACTACACATGACATGTACTAGTGTAAAGTGCAATCTCTATGCTATGCCGTAGAAACAATCTGCCTAATCAAGGACATCGTTCAAGTCATGCTACAGTGGATGCACTGCCCCCTGGGCCATGGCTACTTCTGCAATCAAGAAACTGCTGCCTGGCACTTGAGGCTGAGGCCTCGAGGACAGGCACTTTCAGAGCCGTTCAACTACAAGTACAATACACCGCACACAACAACCTCAAGAGGTCACGCGTTGCTAGTTTTTGGTGCCAGCAGCTAGCCCCGACTCCAAGACTGGGCACATGACTGCCACGAGCATGCAGTCCACTGTACTGCTGTGTCACCGCAGCAGACAAAACTCCACGGATAAGGGGGTAATAGGGTGATCTGTGCAAGGCAGACGGGGGGGGGGGGGGGGACCAAGTGACATCATGGGTTCATTTCCTGTGCAGGCTGCCGCAGGCAGTCGGCCTGGAACTCATGGTAGCAGTCCTGACACTGCTACCAACACAATACAACCAGTCAGCCATGACTCACTACGCAGTGTACCAACTGCCCACGTACCAACTCGGCAACTGTCCCGGTCACAACACAAAATACTACTTGTAACAAGAATTGACGGGCACAACAATGCCATTCTAGAAATGCCCACCACACATTCACCATACATTCGCCGATGTTTGCCCCAAAGGTCACATCGTATTTACTGGGCGAGGAGCTTGCCCCAATACAGCACTGAATGGCATCAGCATGACACATTATTATAAGATGTCCATAAGGTGCTGCAGGCAGCATCAAAGACAGGGCCCAGAAAGACACGCCAGCACGCCTAAATACCAACCGCCATACCACGGTGTCACATCAACTACAACAGACACCACAACACCCACAAACAAGATCACCTCCTGACTTTTAGTAGGCGAAAGACTGCAGCTATTAAAATATTAATGGAGAGTTCTATAGAGGTTTTCTGTTATCATGTTCTGCAAACTCCTTGCCACACGTTGCCTCCACTTGGTCACACCATGCTTTGCAGGGAACTACCAGTAGGTGAGCAGCTGCCAGACGTCCATGAGGACTGGAAGCCAGGAGGCGAGTGCTTGGGCGAGCGAACTAGATCTGCTGAAAAAGCCATGGCAGCACCTCCCATATGAACCATACCTTCAGCAGCCACTGGCCGACAAAGAAACATGGCTAAGGCCCGTCTTCTCAGGGCATCCATAACCAAGAGCAGGAAACCACCAAGAGTGTGCAACTGCCTGCACAACCTCTATACAGTGCTGCGACGACAGAACTTCACATCATGTAGTAGAAGTTTTCACATCTCATGCCTACAGTCCATTCATAAAAGATGGACTTCAAGCTTTTGGCCATAAATGGGTCAAACTTGAGCTTTTTTTAAAATTTGTTCGACAATCCCCCATGGAATGCTCTTCCAATTATGTTTCTAAAGTGTTATTTCTCCAAAAAAGCAAAGGATTTCGGCCAGGTTTTGCTCCAAAAGCACTGAATTGGGAAAATCCAGGCCGTTTCACTCTACTTGCAACAATACATTGTGCTGTTCGAACCCAGTTGAGGTACCTTTTTTAGGATCCCTTTTCAATTTTCGTGGCATTGCACCATGTACAATAAAATCGCCAAAAACGGGAGCTCACCAGAGCCCATCCTTTTGTGAATGGACTGTAGCTAACAATTGTCAGTCAAACTATGTTCTTAACCTTTTGAGCGCGCGTGACGTTCTGACACGTCATGACCACTGCCACTGTGACACGTGTGACGTTCTAGAACGTCACGAGTCAGTACGGAACTACATCGATTCGCACTTCTTCCGTGGCGTGGCGTCGAGTTGTACCGCTGCACAGAAGACTCCTAGGATGTACGAGTACAGTAAAAAATGCGAGTCGCTCCGTAAGTTTGAACTGGAGTTACATGCGCGTGCATACATTTCAAAATATCAAATTCGCGTATAACTACCTTTCTGAAAACGGTCATAACTTTGTAACTTTTGTTGTATTTCCAAAACAAACACAGTTCTGTGCTCAGGATACATGAAAGAATCGTTTGAAATCAAGTTTGCTCACCTAGAGTGAATTAATTTTTTTACTGTGCAGAGGTTTTCAATGGGCCCGGGCTCAAAAGGGTAATAAGTGATGTAAATTATCAAATAAGATGGTGCAGCTGACTTCAACATCCTTTATACTGGTTCCAGATTAGCTACTCTGCAGGATTGTTGGTGTGTAGATGAGATAACTGGGTTCACGAATGCTTTACAAAGACAGTTCTCGATCTACTGCCAACACCACAGAATGTCCATGGCAGAAATCTCTAGAAATTTAGAACTCCTCAATGACTTCACCGAGTGCATATCGTGTACAGTCCATCAGTGGTTGGTTTTAGAAAAAAGTATTCCGCTTGATTCATCAATACACATGGAATAAACGAGTTCGAGAAAGGCACAGTCACTCTGACAACCAGGCTGCTGCAGCCATGACATCTGATCACAGCACGCTGTGCCATCGCTATCGCCGCGCAATTTGCACAGAACAACAGGAACTGCCAGAAATCCGCCTTATCTCGAATAATGGCCGCAGCCTGCCGATGCGGGTTGCCGTTGGGCCTTGACGCATGGAGATTTTTTCCCCAACAAGTTGCGGTGTCATATTGGGCAGGTGCATGCAGCTCAGTCCAACCTCTCCTCAGCGAGGGCCAATCCTCTTGCCCTCGTGTTATATCATCAGGACAAGTTTGTGTCACTGAAACACTCTCTTAGGGCGCCAGCCACGCCATACCTGACGTGCCCTTTGCCTAAAACCATTCCAGCACTGACAAGACTTCAACTGTCCCCAAAGAGCACAGCAGCAACAGGCAGCAAGACCAGTCAACAGCTAGCTGTGACAAAGCTGACCTGACACAACACCGAGCCACAATGACAAATCAAAAAGGACTAGACGTCAAACTAAAATTACACGCTGCTCGCCAAGAGGACTCGGGCTCGGCTGCAGGCAGCACACACACACACACACACCCCCAAGACGTGACAGCAAAATTATTTCTACCGAGTTCCTTCACGGTCCTGTCACTCTGCACACTGCATGGCTATTTGAAAAGGCCATTCAGTGTCAGGGATACAACATGGCCATGTGGACAAGATTTGTTTCTACCAACTGGCTGTTCACATCGGAGCATCAGATACACCAACTGGTGTGTCTGTCGACTCGATTCCAATTCGACACAGGACGAAGCAACTCCAGTTCTTCTCCAACAAACACATCAAGTAGCTCGCAAAAAAAACATTTACTAGTATCCGATATGATCAATCACCACGATCGCAACATACCTATGATCGCCTCCCAGTGTTAGATGGAGCTTGTCCTTCTGCGATGAAATTCTCTCCGAAAGCTGAAAGAAAGTGGTGAAGAGAGTACAGAAAATTGATCAGACTTTAGTTTAGGGAAGTGAGAACTATTTATGGGGAACCGTTCAAAACAGATTATTCCCAAAAACAGCATCGTCAAACAGAGTAACTTGTACTGTGCAATATGCTTACAGCTCGGCAAAAGGAGCCAACAGCTTCTGGGTTCTTCACGCCTCGAACTTCCCCACGCAGGCTGTTGTCTTCAACAATGTTGCCAGTGTCCACGACATTGTAGGCTGCATTGTGTGAACAATAAAAAAACCCAAAACACGAACTGAAGCAACCGAATTATTTAGTAGCACAAGGCTGCGTGCCACGAGCACTTGTATGTTGACCACGATAAGGCAACTAACTTACCACTCCGTCTGATATAGTCCAGAATTCCAAGGTCTCTCAGAATATCGGGAGCATCTCTGGTACCAGCTCTTGGCTAAAGGAACAGATCGGGGAACAGAAGAGGCTGTTCCAAGACAGAACAAGAATACCACCTTCCATAATGGTTTCCATTCGAACCTGGCCAACTTCACAGCAAGCGCCAATCACAGAAACATCGTCTACGAGACGCTGCGAGCTGCTGCGCGAGTATGCACGTACACCACCCGATGGTAAGCATTTGTGGAGAGGACGGAATCTCGACAACATCTTTGCTGCAAGCAAAGCAAATAGCCAACTACGACAAGAAGAAGACGATGAGCACTCGTATGGACGCCACGTACACGGGTTCAGGTGCGAACTGCCTCTGCGGAAGCGAAATCCAGCAGTTTATAAAAATAAAAGTGACCATGTTCTGGCCCATACAGACTTGGCCATGCGCGCGCGTACATATGTGCAGCACTCGCAAGTAGCTGAGTACATGCAGCGTACAGCGCATAGTCTGCCATAGATCATAGAATCTTGGCCGAGTACGATCTTTTGGGTGACCTTTTTCCTAACTCCGCTTGTGATTGGCTAGCTAAGGAGGTGTGTGCGGGGCGCGCGGGATGCACGTACATATATGTACATGTAATATGTACGGCCACTTGCAGCTTGGCGAAAAACGTAGATCTACACTCTACACACTCCATACATGTCAATGCTTCGTGTACACGTCTTGTGCGCGCGGGGACAAAAAGAAAAGCTTTCAAAATCCACGTGGTCGAGCGGGGCAGCCAAGACAAGTACACCAAACTGCAAAGTCCAAGCCAACAAAAGCAAAGGGTTCGGCCATTCAATCGTAGATGGAGTTTGCTGCCACGACCGTGACAACTCAGGCTGGAGTCTGGCAAGTCACTGACTCCATTCGTGTGCACTGTACGAGTACCAACAAAATGCAATAACAACAAATTTTATTCACCCACACTGAGCTGCATGCACGGAGTTCGTTCCAGGCGAGAAACTGGCAGGTTCTACTAGTACTTGACGGTTCTGTTGCAAAAGCGCGTGGCAAAGCCACCGAGTTGGCAGAAAACGACTGACTGTAGATCTACTCGTCGTCTCAGACTCTGCATCAGTTTCAGCCAGAAAACGTGCTTGATGCGGTGACCGTGTCGACTTGAAGTGCCACAGAGGCAGCCGCTTGATATGAACACTGCCAGTCGAGTCGGTCTGCTGCTTTTTTTCTTCATTTTTTTAGTCACAGCTATCCTTTACTACAGTAATAGTATCTTTCTGAAGTGCCGTGCATGCACATGGTTGACCTGATTCCGAGTCAGTATACAGTGCAGTGATTGTTACAGCTACAAGTACAAAGTAGTACAGTCATCCTGGCTTTGTCATGGAATCGGGCGCCAGGAACAAAATCATTGCAAAGGCTGCTTGCACGTCGACTGCCACCACCCAGCGCAGCCAAAAACTACGAACTGCACGGCGCTGGTGTGCTCATCTGAATGCCGGCATCTGCAGGCGTTTGCTACACTTTGTTGTGCTGGGTGTGAAACCACGCCGAGGAGTTAGCAGTCGTGATTCGTGAGTTGTACAGTCAAATCTGTCGTAAGCGACCGCCCCTTGGTGCAAGAAAAAGCGGTCGCTTACGGCAGATGGTCTCCTACGGCAGATGTATGGTAAATCCGGCATACCAGGTATATGCTTCCATGTACTCAAATCGACGAGAATAATGTGATTTTTAATATCATTTTATTGGATATTCAACGACGACCATACCCATACTAGGGCCATAGTACGCGTATGCGACACGGCAGTAGATCGACACTGCCTGGACTTGAGAGCTACAGCACAGCCCTCAGTACGAGGCCAGGCGCCAGTCGATCGCACTTGCAAGACAGCACATTTTCACACTTTGCAGGTGACAGCGCACTGGCAAGGACAGTTTCGCACCTGACTGAACCTGGGTCGCGGTCGCTTACAGCAGATTTGAATGCAGCCACCGTGCATGAAATCGCGGTCGCTGGTCGCGCACAGCAGATGGTCGCTCTGGACAGATCAGTTTGTATGTGAAACCGTCGGTGCACGGAAAATCGGTCGCTAACGGTAGATGGTCGCCTACAGCAGAGGTCGCTAACGGCAGATTTGACTGTAATACTAACATAATACAATCATGCAGTATTAGTACTCTCATGTCATTTTAACCCTTTGTGGGTCTTACTCAATGTATGTGAGGGGTGGTCACGCAAACACGCGTACAAACAACGAGCCATAACTCAAGTTCCTTGAGTTGTAGGTATGGGTAAACTATAATATATTTTCAAAATCTGTATGCCTGGACGCGTCCAGAAAACACAAATATGACTATGTCCAGGCAAGGGTATGACCCGTGGTAGCCCTTCAAGTTGAGAGAAAATACAATTGCGAACAAAAAAGCACAAAAATCACAGCTCGAAGTGCATACCAAGTTCGTGATGGAGCTGAAGTCCTATGCTAAACAATCAGGTAAGCGCTACGTCTTGGTGAAGAATATATGCTCCTAATTCCGTCCTTGAACTCCAATACCTCGCCATCGGCGATGCACCAGCAGCAACAGTTCCACAATATCACAATTTTGGTTCGTTCACCTCAGCGCCGCTCGCGTCAGATTCACTCTCGCTCAGATGAGTACTCAGGCGCGATGTCACGCGTGCCGTGATTCTCACGGCCAGGCGAATCAGCTGATCGCACCTGACAAGTCCTTGTAAGAGTTGCTGTTGCTGTGCTTCCTCGCTGGTTGGTAAATTTGATTTCTTCATTCGGGGACGATTTATTTGAGCTAGGAGGACTCAACGGAGCTCTCTTTCTCACGACATTACACTGGAAATCCTCCAGGGACATCCAGCCTAGACTGGTGCCGTCAGTGTCCTCAGAAAGCTTTTCTGACACGGCTTCAAGAGATGCACTCCCATTCTCGAAATGCGCGTATGGCGGATGGTCGTCTTTTCCAATTTCACCAGACTTCAGTCGATCGATACTGCAAAAATTTGTATAGTAAGTATGGTTGTTTTTTACACCGTTGGAAAGCCTGGGACCTCAGCTACGAGTACGAGTGGAGCACCATTTTAGTTGTCTCCTAGCAACAAAACTCACAGAAAATGCGATTTTACTGTAAGGGTCACATACGACCCTTAAAGGGGAACTCCGGTCCAAAATCACCCCCATTTTTTATTGCGGAATCCATTAGAGTATGTCGTAAGTGGTAGAATGGCGAAAACCGGACGCTTCTACGACAAGGATAACATACCTAAATTACCAATTGCAATTTTCCATATTTGGCACGAGGGGGGCCCCCTCCCACCCTGTGACGTAAAACGTTCTCAGCCCGGTCCACTCAGATGAAATTTTCAAATAATTGAAGCAAGAATGAAAAGTCCTTGGCCATTGTTGAAGTGCTTGTTGTTCTGTGCCATGCCCGATTTATTGTCACGACTCGCTGCTGCGTCTCTGGATGCAACAATGTCACGAAGAAAGAGGCGCCTGCGGGCTGTCGTAGCATGGCTTTCCTCTGGCTGACGCGAACCTGACGACAGCTTGGCTATGGAGAGTATGTTGGAAGGATTTTTCTCCGACGAAAAATAATCGTGTCTGCACTGAGCATTTCACTGAGATGTGCTATGAAAGAGATTTCCAACAAGAGTTTGCACAAAGCATTGGTGGCTATAAGCAGAAGCAGCAGCGACGCTTGAAGCCAGGGTCTCTGCCATCCTGAAACTTGGCGGTGCATGTCATACTAATAGTTAGTAGCTCCTCTACCTCTGCTGCCAGCAAAAGCAGACCATCTTCGATTTACTTCCAGGAACGTGAGCACGATGAGGTAAGTGAACGGCATGATTTTGTGCCGTCCAGAACGTAGCTCTAAACGACTACAGTCCTACTCAAAGTCCTCTGCTCAAAATCCTAGTCAGTGAAGTCGAGAATTGATGTAATGTACATGGAACGTTATCATGTGTGTTATTTCGGTTCTCTTTATCTGTAAGTTTCCATTGCGTTACTTTCCGGTTGCAGCTACACTGCCACAAATACAAGGTACAGTATGATTTGTAGTCTGGAAAATTTCCATGCTGTCATACTGAAGTGGGCACCAAAACGTGTCCACTTTTCGTACAATGGCATGAGAGCACGGGTACAGTCGGCATGTCTGTCCCACAATGCCAATATAGGGTGAGCGCACGCCAAAACCAAGGAGGGTGTGCTCAGGTACAGGCTGGAATACACCAAGAGCACAAAGTGGCCAAGAAGCTGCACGACAATGTCCGGCAACTTCTTGAAGGACCTGTTGAACGATGTGCATACAACCATTCTCGGCATTCGCAACGGCACACGGCACCGGCACAACCCCATGCTCCCGAACACAGTACAGTCTTGTGCCATTGTATCTGTCAACTTTACCAGATTGTTCGTGCAGCTGCATTGGTGCAAAGCATGCGCCCACCCGAAAACACAAATATTGCCCGAGTCAAGAATAGTTATAAATCGTGTCTGTCAACTGTTTTCTACATTCTGCATGCACATGTACCAATGATTATGTGAACGTCAACCAGGCCAAGAAGCATTATCATCATCATCATCATGTCCAACTGCTTCCTCAAAGCCCCAGTGCGCATCTGCATTGGCTTCTGGTACAGCTGCTTTATCTTCGATACCACGTAAGACGGTATCACACGCCGCTGCTTGCGTCCAAAGTGTCCATGGGTGAACCATGTGTATTGTCTATACACCACATGTCTCCAAATCCTGCACAAAACAGTTGGAGAGATGTAGATACACATACCACGAGTGTCTTCATGATTGTGTAAAAGTAAATAGTTTCAGTGTAAATAGTTTCGGATTCGAGTTAATATTTCTATGGGCTACTATACTAAAGACACTTTGGCATTTTTTCAAATTTACATCACTTTTACACACAGTTGAAACACTTACAGTGCTAGGAATAGTATGAATGAAAGACATCGTTGTACCAGTATAATTATATTGGCATGGGTGCAATAGAACTTCATGATTGTGCGATGGAAGTTGGTGAATTTGAATACTGTACACAAAATCATTGCACAACACTTCCCATCTACTTTGTACCGGTACATGAAACATGGAAAGAAAGGAAATAATGAAACCGATTCAGTGAATCCTCACCTGTTTGACCACGGTCCACACCTTGCCCGAAATTCTTCGAAGGAAAGCAATGCCACCTCGAGCACTGATTTTTGCAGGCAAACAACAGCAAACTCTGAGTGCTGCGTGACGCACTGCAGCCCTTCCTGCTCGCCGCGTTTACTGAAAGCTGCAGGAACCTCCCAGCAACAAGTCGACTCGACCTCGCTCCACATCATGCTGCATTGTCCGCAACGGCAT